TTCCTGTAAATAACCCTTTTGTATTATACTGGTTGAAGGCTATATATGCAATCGTTAAATGTAAGTTTGCATCATTCAATCAGCTTATTGTTTCAGTCATTATACTTTATTTTGTAACTGTATTAGTTTTCTTATATCTATTGTTTATTTAAAATATGTATTTCATATAACTCTATGTATGGAGGAATAATGATATGAATGAATTCTGTAACAGGTGTGGCTATCGGAAAACTAACAACTCGAATGTTAATGTTTTGTGGTGAATATATATTTCAGGTCTTTTTAACTCACGGATCTGAAACCTTTTTAAAGTTTCACGCGTGTATTTCAGACTTCAGAAAAGTCATGGTAGTATTTGCCTTACTAATCATACTATTGCCAGTACAATAATATATAATGTTACAATAATATACAATAATATATAATATTACAATAATATATAACATTATAATGATATACAATAATATATAATGTTATAATGATATACAATAATATATAATGTTATAATAAAATACAATAATATATAATATTATACTAATATACAATAATATATAATGTTATAATAAAATACAATAGTATATAATATTATACTTATATACAATAGCATGTCCTCTGTAAAACGATCTGTATATTTAAATGTGTGTCACTGTCAAACATTTTGTACCGACTTAACTGAAGACCTGCTATCCTAATTCTAGGTAAAGATTTGACATTGACAGGATTCCCAGCTAACCCGTGCCTTACTTATCTGATAATTGCACAGTAAGATATAGCATTTTTTACTTTAACAAATTTTATTTAATAAGGATTAAGCGGTAGACAGAGAAACAGTTGTTGTCTTTGGGACTATTACGAAAGGCTATTGTTAGGCCGTGAGTCAGGTAGAGATTAGCATCCCTGACTGTTCCGTTAATCCGTCACCATATCTTTAGACCTACACGTACCTTTATGTCACGTGATGGACAATACATCGGCCCCCTGGAGCAGCCACCATTACAATATAGTAAACGTGTAATATTATATTGTGTAGGATATTTGTCAAACCTGTTGAACTAACGTGATGATATGGTCGACTCTGCCAACAAGGGATTAGATATTAACATTTTTAATTGTTCTAAACCCAATATTCGAAGCTTTTCAGCTACAAACAAACCTTAAAACAGCTCGAATTATTCAACCATAATATAATTCCGAAGGATGTTCCACCACTAACATCAAGCCCGACACGTAAATATTGTTATCTAAATCTTATATATAAAGCTACAAAGTATCAAAGGTCTCTTGCTATCCGACACGTAGATATAAAGCTTCGAAGGTCTCCTGCTATCCGACACGTAGATATAAAGCTAAAAAGTATCGAAGGTCTCCTGCTATCCGACACGTAGATATAAAGCTACAAAGTATCGAAAGTCTCCTGCTATCCGACACGTAGATATAAAGCTACAAAGTGGCGAAGGTCTCCTGCTATCCCACACGTAGATGGTGTTATCTAAATCCTATCTATGATATAAAGCTACAAAGTATCGAAGGGCTCCTGCTATCCGACATGTAGATAGTGTTATCTAAATCTTATCCATGATATAAAGCTACAGAGTATTGAAGGTCTCCTGCTATCCGACACGTTGATAGTGTTATCTTAATCTTATCTATGATATAAAGCTACAAAGTATCGAAGGTCTCCTGCTCTCCGACACGTAGATAGTGTTATCTAAATCTTATCTATGATATAAAGCTACATAGTATCGAAGGTCTCCTGCTATCCGACACGTAGATGGGGTTATCTAAATCTTATCTATGATATAAAGCTACATAGTATCGAAGGTCTCCTGCTATCCGACACGTAGATATAAAGCTAAAAAGTATCGAAGGTCTCCTGCTATCCGACACGTAGATGGTGTTATCTAAATCTTATCCATGATATAAAGCTACAGAGTATTGAAGGTCTCCTGCTATCCGACACGTAGATAGTGTTATCTTAATCTTATCTATGATATAAAGCTACAAAGTATCGAAGGTCTCCTGCTCTCCGACACGTAGATAGTGTTATCTAAATCTTATCCATGATATAAAGCTACAGAGTATTGAAGGTCTCCTGCTATCCGACACGTAGATATAAAGCTTCAAAGTATCGAAGGTCTCCTGCTATCCGACAGGTAGCTATAAAGCTACAAAGTATCGAAGGTCTCCAGCTATCCGACACGTAGATATAAAGCTACAAAGTATCGAAGATCTCCTGCTATCCGTCACGAAGATATAAAGCTACAAAGTATCGAAGGTCTCCAGCTATCCGACACGTAGATATAAAGCTACAAAGTATCGAAGATCTCCTGCTATCCGTCACGTAGATATAAAGCTACAAAGTATCGAAGGTCTCCTGCTCTCCGACACGTAGATAGTGTTATCTAAATCTTATCCATGGTATAAAGCTACAAAGTATCGAGGGTCTCCTGCTATCCGATACGTAGATAGTGTTATCAAAATCTTATCCATGATATAAAGCTACAAAGTATCGAAGGTCTCCTGCTATCCGACACGTAGATAGTGTTATCTAAATCTTATCTATGAAATAAAGCTACAAAGTATCGAAGGTCTCCTGCTATCCGTCACGTAGATAGTGTTATCTAAATCTAATCTATGATTTAAAGCTACACAGTATCGAAGGTCTCCTGCTATCCGTCACGTAGATAGTGTTATCTTAATATTATCCATGATATAAAGCTACAAAGTATCGAAGGTCTTCTGCTATCCGTCACGTAGATATAAAGCTACAAAGTATCGAAGGTCTCCTGCTATCCGACACGTAGATATAAAGCTTCAAAGTATCGAAGGTCTCCTGCTATCCGACACGTAGATATAAAGCTACAAAGTATCGAAGGTCTCCTGCTATCCGACACGTAGATATAAAGCTACAAAGTATCGAAGGTCTCCTGCTATCCGACACGTAGATATAAAGCTACAAAGTATCGAAGGTCTCCTGCTATCCGACACGTAGATATAAAGCTACAAAGTATCGAAGGTCTCCTGCTATCCGACACGTAGATATAAAGCTACAAAGTATCGAAGGTCTCCTGCTATCCGACACGTAGATATAAAGCTACAAAGTATCGAAGGTCTCCTGCTATCCGACACGTAGATATAAAGCTACAAAGTATCGAAGGTCTCCTGCTATCCGACACGTAGATATAAAGCTACAAAGTATCGAAGGTCTCCTGCTATCCGACACGTAGATATAAAGCTACAAAGTATCGAAGGTCTCCTGCTATCCGACACGTAGATATAAAGCTACAAAGTATCGAAGGTCTCCTGCTATCCGACACGTAGATATAAAGCTACAAAGTATCGAAGGTCTCCTGCTATCCGACACGTAGATATAAAGCTACAAAGTATCGAAGGTCTCCTGCTATCCGACACGTAGATATAAAGCTACAAAGTATCGAAGGTCTCCTGCTATCCGACACGTAGATATAAAGCTACAAAGTATCGAAGGTCTCCTGCTATCCGACACGTAGATATAAAGCTACAAAGTATCGAAGGTCTCCTGCTATCCGACACGTAGATATAAAGCTACAAAGTATCGAAGGTCTCCTGCTATCCGACACGTAGATATAAAGCTACAAAGTATCGAAGGTCTCCTGCTATCCGACACGTAGATATAAAGCTACAAAGTATCGAAGGTCTCCTGCTATCCGACACGTAGATATAAAGCTACAAAGTATCGAAGGTCTCCTGCTATCCGACACGTAGATATAAAGCTACAAAGTATCGAAGGTCTCCTGCTATCCGACACGTAGATATAAAGCTACAAAGTATCGAAGGTCTCCTGCTATCCGACACGTAGATATAAAGCTTCATAGTATCGAAGGTCTCCTGCTATCCGACACGTAGATATAAAGCTACAAAGTATCGAAGGTCTCCAGCTATCCGACACGTAGATATAAAGCTACAAAGTATCGAAGGTCTCCTGCTATCCGACACGTAGATAGTGTTATCTAAATCTTATCTATGATATAAAGCTACAAAGTATCGAAGGTCTCCTGCTATCCGACACGTAGATAGTGTTATCTAAATCTTATCTATGATATAAAGCTACAAAGTATCGAAGGTCTCCTGCTATCCGACACGTAGATAGTGTTATCTAAATCTTATCTATGATATAAAGCTACAAAGTATCGAAGGTCTCCTGCTATCCGACACGTAGATAGTGTTATCTAAATCTTATCTATGATATAAAGCTACAAAGTATCGAAGGTCTCCTGCTATCCGACACGTAGATAGTGTTATCTAAATCTTATCTATGATATAAAGCTACAAAGTATCGAAGGTCTCCTGCTATCCGACACGTAGATAGTGTTATCTAAATCTTATCTATGATATAAAGCTACAAAGTATCGAAGGTCTCCTGCTATCCGACACGTAGATAGTGTTATCTAAATCTTATCTATGATATAAAGCTACAAAGTATCGAAGGTCTCCTGCTATCCGACACGTAGATAGTGTTATCTAAATCTTATCCATGATATAAAGCTACAAAGTATCGAAGGTCTCCCGCTATCCGACACGTAGATAGTGTTATCTAAATCTTATCTATGAAATAAAGCTACAAAGTATCGAAGGTCTCCTGCTATCCGTCACGTAGATAGTGGTATCTAAATATTATCTATGATATAAAGCTACAAAGTATCGAAGGTCTCCTGCTATCCGACACGTAAATAGTGTTATCTAAATCTTATCTATAATATTAAGCTACAAAGTATCGAAGGTCTCCTGCTATCCGTCACGTAGATATAAAGCTACAAAGTAGCGAACCTCTCCTGCTATCCGACACGTAGATATAAAGCTACAAAGTATCGAAGGTCTTCTGCTATCCGACACGTAGATAGTGATATCTAAATCTTATCTATGATATATAAAGCTACAAAGTATCGAACGTCTCCTGCTATCCGTCAAAATGCTAATTATAAAACTGTAATGGATGCTGTGGCAACATAACCAGAAATCAAAAGAACACCAAAGACAATATTTTATTTCTTTAAACCGATGTCTAAATTATACTCAACGTACTATCAACATATTAACTACATATGGTTGTACAAATAGAGGGATCTGTATGCACCAACTTACACTCTCTGCTTAGTAAAGACGAGGTTTCGTTGTGAAACTCATTCCGATTCGAACGAAGACATGCTTATCACAATTCTGTATTACAATCTTTCCTATGTGGAGTTTGAACAACTTCAAAGATCTGTATAACACCATACGTCATACCAAATAGAAAATAAACCAAACAAAGGCGAACGACGATAACTATATATGGTTGTGAATCTTTTTGACTGTTTTTGAAGAAATACGACAAAGATGAACTATACTGAGATGAAATCATGAGAATGATTGAATTTCTGGTCGACAATATCTCTGTTGAGTTCGGAGACAAGAAGTTTTAGCAGACTGTTGGAATTTACATCCGGACTAAGTGTGTCCTTCTCTTGGCTGACCTACTTTTGTTTCCTCACATAACTTATCGGGACGGGAAAGACTTTAAGTTCACTTTCAGATCGATCGCTGTTGTGTTTATTTTACGCAACAGCAGCCTTATTGACCACATCGATCGTCTATACCCTACTGAAATTAAAATCGATGATATTAAAAACTCTTCTACTATATCAAACGCTTACCTTGATCTTAACCTACAACATGACCACCTGGGACGGCTTACTACAAAGCTATATAATAAGCGTGTCGATTGCAATTTTCGTGTATCACACCTTTCCTTTCTTTATAATAAATATGTCTGCAACCCACCTAAGGTGTAAACATGTCGCAGATGACTTGATATTCACGGGTTTGCATGCTTTCCGGGATAGAGTTAAATGCCGACGGATCAACCTAAGCACAGTGTGTCCGGAGATGCAGGTTGGTAAGGATTATAGGCATTCTTTATGTTCGTTTTTATGTTCGTCTTTATGTTCAAGTTGGAAACCTTTTTTCTTCTTTTAACAGTATGTTTATTGACACTGTTTATCATATGCATGTCGTTTTAACAGCTCCGGTTCTCTCATAAACGTGAGTTATCTTGGAGTTGACGTAAATTTACATCTCGGGTATTGCTGATCAATAAAAAAAAACCCGCTTACCACCCTGGAGCACATGGTTTACTCATTTTGTTTTTGTAAGTTCCGAAGTGTCTCTATGCAAGTCTTTCCTCTGTTCATATTTTGACATACTTTTATCCATTTCGACTTCGAAGTCTGTTTTGTTTTCACCACGGTATTTTTTTATTGACGTTTTCTACCTAAAGCATTCGACATCTATCACAGAAATCGTAATAGTTTGGGCAATACTTAAATATCCAGCCAACTGCTACTTGTTAACACAGAAGTTGGGAGAAACAAGCAAGTTGCAAGTTACTGTGAAGGAAGGGAAAGTTCAAGATTTGGAAATCGAAATCATCACACTTATCAGGTAGTTATGTACATAAAGTAAGCCGTCCGTGTTGTCAATAACTAGTGAACAGTTATCTAGACTACACCAGCACCGTGGAACATAGTTTTGACTGTTCCCATGTCAGCCATAAAACAATTATATACTGTTGTTCCTCACGCTACTGAGCTGAGGATAAAATGGAGAACAACTGTCCGTTTCCGCTATAGTCTTGTAGGTTATAGGTTGATATGGGTATTAGGTCGATATATGTAGGATATCGAAATGACCATATGATTACCTCTAATCATATTACTACTTGATATGTTAAAACCACGCCAGGTTACCAGGTAAATGATACTTTTTGTAATAAGTAAAAAACAAAACAAACAAACAATATATTGTAAAAATGATTGTTATGTTAATGATCAAACGTAATGTACGTTTCACAAAATAAGTTGTCATGAATTTCCTGTTAATTATGATATAGTTATCACCCATTCAATTAAATAAATTCCTCCCAACTGCAAATTTTCGGAGATCGTTAGTCAGTGGACTGACTGAAAGTTCATTTGGGCATTCTGTTAAAACATATTTGTTGATGTAGAATCTGCGTTATAAATGAAATTTAATTTATTTTTATTGTTATGAGTAAGATAGTTCATATTATATGTGTTGAATATATTGGCACACTAGAAATTTAGAGAATGTCCACCTTGTTTGACGGAAAAGCTGAAAAGTTGACGGTCGTTAAAATGTCCTTCTCCGTCTATAGTTATCCATCCAGCGAAATAGATAAAACCATTCCATACCGTCAACACATGAATACACAATCAGTTCTCAAATACAACAACGGAGTCAATGTGACACAAAAACACAACTAAAGATATGAACCTCTACGAAAGAGGAAACTAGGGCCCGTATTCATGAAACCGTTCTCGTGCTCAAGAATTGATTCTTTACTCAAACCATCTTCCTTGTAACTATTTAAATCATGTGTCACAGTCAAAAGTGAAATGTAAATAATAAACGGAATTCTGCTTGAAGTTTCCCCGAAATTCTTCCAAAATATTCGCAAAAGATTATCTTTATTAATTCATTACCGGAACAAGACACTGGGCTTGAACACAGAATCTGTGTTTGAGCACAAACACATGAATACGGGCCCAGAAGATTGGGAATGGTCCCCGCAAGCAAAGTTGGACACCCAGCATGTCTGTCTGTCACATCCGAGTTAGCATTGAGGGCACTTGAATATATAAGTATTCGTAAACCTGATTATCACAATTGAATATAATTGTTTCTTCATAAATATCCGTTCATAATAATGTCTATATCACTTTTCAAATGATTGTCGATTGGTGAGGTGGTCATCCTCCAACATCTTCACCCACGCAGTTAGGCCGAAATGTTCACTCTATGAGTGAAAATGAGTGTCTACAGATAAAAACAAACGATTTCCAATGAATGATACAAAGAAACGCAAGGAGATGTGTACGGGTAAAATGATGACATATTTACGTTGATTTTTGATGAACGGTGTATAGTTACTGTTTATTATTTTCTTTAGTCACATGTCATTTTAGTTCCATTAACAATATCTATATTCCTCATTGTCGTATTGTAGGCTATTTTGTAACTAAATCCATCGGACAAAGTTGTATAATTAGTTATACTATCTTCATAGTGAATACCCAAACATCATCGGTCTCCTTTTTATGTCTAGCGTGTACTAGATGTGTAGTACAAAGTTATTGTAAACGATCTATGAATGCAGTAAATAACACAAACATTGAATATGATTGGTGTTGGTGTAATGTGTAAACATTGTAACTATAGTACAAAGTTATATGTACAAAGTTGTATGTAAACAATGTAACTATAGTATATAGTTGTATGTAAACAATGTAACTATAGTACAAAGTTGTATGTAAACAATGTAACTGTTGTACACTGTCGTATGAAAACCATGTAACTGTACATGTTGTAGAACGTTTTGTTATACATATGAACATAATATATGTATGATAAACCTACCAGTGTTAAGGCGGTGGAGATCACCTGGTATCTACCTCATCAAATTCTACTCGTTTCTCCTGATTAGGTATTTGCTTGTTAAGTTACCAACGTGATTTAATTTAAAATATTGCACATTCTATTTAATTTATCAATCAGTATACAAACCATCTTTAAAAATAAGGTCATACAAATTTTCGATAATATAAATTATCAACATGATATCAATTAAAAACAATATGTATCAATCATTACAACCATTCATCCATAAAATATCGTTCATCCTCTTCTCTAGACTGGCTCCCAGCCCGTAAGATTTTTTGAAGAATTTCGCTGTATTTTACTACTATCCTATCTCCCCCTAATTTAGAATATAGGCCCGGAGTCAAATTACAAACCTTATCCACATTTGACCAGTCTCTAGAATCAGACATCCAAGTGATCAACATTTTTAGCGTTAAAATTATTTTCTTAATTATTCCATATTCTAGAGACGGTTGCCAGTCTAATACTTCTCATATATTCAACCATTCAATCATCATTCACAGCAGATATTCAATTAATACTCCTATCGCACCCGAAAAGTAAACAAGACTTGGTCACGTGAGGAAGTAGGCTGAAAGAGTCACTAGAATATACAGCAATGTCGCTCTGGGGTGGAGTTTTGTACAGCCACCTGTAACATAAAACCAAAGTTAGTCACTAGGTGTCGCGCTGGGCTGGAGAATTGTACCGCCACCTGTAACATAAAACCATAGTTAGTCACTAGGTGCCGCGCTGGGCTGGAGAAGTGTACAGCCAACTGTAATATAAAACCAAAGTTAGTCACTAGGTGTCGCTCTGGGCAGGAGTATTGTACAGCCGCCTGTGATATAAAAACAAAGTTGGTCACTAGGTGTCGCTCTGGTCTAGAGTATTGTACCGCCACCTGTAATATAAAACCAAAGAAGATCACTAGGTGTCGCTCTGATCTGGAGTATTGTACAGCCAACTGTAATATAAAACCAAAGTTGGTCACTAGGTGTCGCTCTGGTCTGGATTATTGTACCGCCACCTGTAATATAAAACCAAAGCAGGTCACTAGGTGTCGCTCTGGTCTGGAGTATGATATAGACACCTGTAATATAAAACCAAAGTTGGTCACTAGGTGTCGCTCTAGTCTGGAGTATTGTACCGAGACCTGTAATATAAAACCAAAGTAAGGCACTAGGTGTCGCTCTGGTCTGGAGTTTTGTATAGCCACTTGTAACATAATGCCACAGTTAGTCACCTGGGCCCACTTTTATAAAACATCTCAAAGTTAAGGAAAATCTCAAGCAGTGTATTCTCTATGGGAAATCTTAGACTTGAGGAAATCTCAAGAGTTGAGATGTTTTATACAAGTCGGCCTAGGTGTCACTCAGGGCTGGATTATTGTATAGTAATCTGTAACATGATACTGGATAGTAACGGAATACAACTATCTTAATTATTTATTTAATCATTCAATAATGAGTTTTAAAATGTGTTTTAAAATAGTCACTAGGTGATTATTGTAGAATTTCACTAAATACTAAAAATATTATATATGAAATAAAACAAAATCTCGAATGATCGTTATGAATTAATAGTGAATATGATCATTTTAGTAGGCATGTGTGTAACAACACCACCTTAAATGAAACAACGAATGAGGGTCATGCCACAAAAATCACACACAAACAGAAACATGCAAATGGGCTGATATCTCGGAATGTTACAATACCCTGTGTACTGTCGGCAAGACAACTTCTCAGTGCGAAAATTGAGCCCGGTATATTTAGCTTTGTCAAATATTCAGCTAGTGTTCAATTAATAGAAAACAAGCTTTTACGCTTTCATATCCTGCGAGCCTTTTGCCGAATTGACATACAAGTCTGTGGAGTCTGACACATTGTAAGTGCACAAGGATATGATAATGCTCTTATTTTATGTTTTTCTTACCATTGATAGTGCCGTCATTGCGTTGTCCCTTATTTAAAGTTGAGTCTGATGTTGATGTACTCGCTAATTTAGGTGACTTCGATGTCAATGACGTCACTGATAACGATGGACGTGTCGATTTATCGAACGATGTATCAGTTACTGATTCGGTTCTGGAAGATGTGCGAGTTGTCTCCCTTTTTATGGTGGTGGGTTCAGCTACTGGATCTAATGCTAAAATAATGATAACAACCGAAGAAATGTAAATACTTTAATCTGTAATAAGTGATGATTTTACATTCGTAATATGCCTTTAAATCTGTGTATAAATGTATCTATAGAAGTTTCGAACAAGTATAATTGTCTTTTTTAAAGCAGGACGCATACTGAGATTACTAGGTTAGACACCACTTATGAGGTAGGGGACATTTTAGCCCTTTATGTCAGAAGAATCAGCTGTTTCGCCTATTATCTAGACGTGACATATTCCGTCCCTAATTGGTTAGTCGTGTCACATGACGTCATATCGTGCAGTCCTGATATACCATTAGATGACGTCGTAATTCGTGTATTAACAAACAAACATTTGGTGTTAACAGCTTCTGGAGAGAAGACACATCACGTAGTTTGTATGTATATACACGTACGATATAATTACAGTTTGTTTATGGAATAACAAACTTACGTCTCATTTCTACTTTATTTATTACAAATACAAAAGCTTTTTCATCACATATAGCCCAATAAATAATTTACCATAGCACGCGACAGATATGCGTTAATGAACGATAACATAACACCATTATGACAAAGTGAAATACCTTGATGATATTTACTGCAAAAAGTGTCGTACAGAATTTCGATGTTTGAAAAATCGTTTGGTTACAGGTAGTTGAAGGTGCAAGGTGTTATATTAATACAAACTATATGTGTTGGTACATTGAAGACACATTCAAGTTACAATGCAATCACCTTTAACTGATGTTGTATCTTTCCCATCCACCGCCATTGATACCCGTGCAGTAACACGCAGAGGTATATTCGTGGTGTGCTTCTGTCTGTCAACAGACTCCGGGTTGATAGATACCGGCTCTGGGTCAGTTTTGTCTGATCGGGAGGGGAACTGTTCTCTGGTTTGTGTTGCTATTTCGTGTAACAAATCCGTGTCTGTCGGGATAAACGAGGCGGTTGTAAATTCATCCCCTGTCGTTCCACTTTCTTCTGTACTGAACGGTCGCCTTGGTGACAGAACAGTTGTCACTTCTTGTTGCTCTGCGACCCTGTTACTACTCGTAACCATAACAGCGTCATCTTCGTTGCCACCATTAGTTGATGATATCTTGGTTACGCCTATGGTAGACATGCGGCTTGAATTAGTAGAATCGTCGGAAATGACAAAATCTGTGTTTGCGAGAGGGTCCATTTTTATCCCTATCCTCTTTTTGACAGTGACTATGGTAACATCTATAGCAGTAACAATATCAGTTAAACTAGAGCGCCCTCTATCGCGGGAGGTACTGTTCGTTTGGGTAGATGTAGGTAGTACGGAGGTGTCTTCTGTTCTATCCGTCGGGTCGAGTAGCTGTGTAACTATTTCAACCGTCGGTTCGAGTGGCTGTGTAACTATTTCAACCGTCGGTTCGAGTGGCTGTGTGACTATTTCAGTAGTATCCGTCGGGTCGAGATGCTGTGTGACTATTTTAGTAGTATCCGACGGGACGAGTGACTTTGTGACTATTTCAGTAGTATCCGCCGGGTCGAGTACATCCGGCTGTGTGGTGTACGATGTCTTCACTGTAATGCTGACTGGAAACGTAATTTGGCCAGTCGATATATTGTAAATGACGGTGACGTTTGATTTTGTTTACAGTATATAAAACAAACTACCATGCTTTTGTATATATACTTGCAAAAATACTGATTAGCGCCATCATGCTAATAGGAGCAAAGCGAACAAATTAAATTGGAACACAATACTACCATTTTTTTTGGAGGATTTATAGTGCAAGCTACAATATTGAAAAAAGGGGCAGATATGTAAATCATGAATATGAATTAAGATACATTATAATATTTTTGAAAATACAATAAAAAAATACTTTTGCCAAATATAAACCGCGTGAATGTTATCGTCAGAGTTAAGTATGTGGTACACACTTGTGGGATGTCAAGTACTCGGTAACCTTGTAAGTATGTATACTATGTAACTACATTGACTTCACGCCTATCACACATTCTTTACACGCGTGTTACAGTGGTGAGGAGAGACATTACCAGCAACGTATCAAAATCATACAGGACCCACTTGTGTGTGTGTGTGTATGACACCAGGTAACATGGAGGTCACGCAAAGTCTTGTTTTTTTCTGTTCTACACTGCGATATCGTTGAGAGTTGTAAATTGTAAAAATGACCATTTCCTTAAGAGGTGTACACTGTAAAAATGACAATGTCTTTAAAAGTTGTACACTGTATTTATGAAATATTTAATGAGAATTTACTGCATTATCTTTTTCAATGCATAACCGACATTAAAAAGAAGCCATTGAAAACGATTATTTTGTATATATTAAACCCATAGTGTTAAGTTGGTTTGGTTTGGTTTAGTATTGTTTAACGTTTATCAACAGCTATGGTCATTTAAGGACAGCCTCCCCTGTGTGCAAGATGCATGCGTGTAGTGTATGCGTGTGTTTTGGGGGGGGNTATACTGACAACGGGCGAACCAATCGTCCCACCCCTAAATTGCTGAGCGTTAAGCATGAGTAGAAACTACCATTTTTACAGACTCTAGTATGTCTCGGCCAGGGGACAGAGCCCAAAGCCTTCCTCACAGGGGCGAACGCTCAACGACAATGTAGAGGCCAAAAATGAGGCATTGTCAAGGGAGACATTAGGAAGAAGAAAGTTGTTTTAGTGATAAGTAATCAGATTGTAAGTATTTCCAAATATTTGCGGAATAACTTAACGTCATAAAAGTTTTCTTCTGTTATGATCTCACGTTATGCGAGGCGCGATGTGAAAGATCAAAATGATAAAAAAGATATACATATGCAGAGGAAATGTAAATATACATGTACATGCACCATGTAGCCGCCATGCAGAAACTCACAGTCCATCCACTTCTCAATCGATCATAGAGCGAGAGTCTCGGTGAGATATGCTGTAACATGCCTTTCTCGTCTAAGTTCGATACATTTACATAATACAGGTTTACTCACTGGAAGGTGCTGGTGACCTCACTGATGACGTCATCTTTATATTTTGTGTTGTTACTATAGTTGTCGTTTCTGCAGTGTCTGTTGTTAGCGGAACTGTTACATCTATACCAGTAAGACTTTCCTCGTAAAAGGGTACCATTTTGAGAGCGTCGGAACACGTGGCCTTTTTTGAAATGCATTCTTTCAAAGTATCAGTGCCTCTGGAAATGAAACGATAATGAAAAACAAAATTTATAGCAACAATTGAAAACAATTGATATCATTGTTTTTGAGACAACGACGTTTCGGTACAATTTTATAACAGAGATGCTTATGTAAGCATAAAAATAGCAAAACATTGTATTGTATGTGTGGAGTAAGTTTTTGCAGACAGAAGGATTTGTTTTTAAAATAAGTTTTGTAAATAAAAGGATGTTGTGCAGGCAGGATGCTATTGTATATGTGAAATTTTGTGCGGACAGAAAATTATTGCATATGTTGAAAATTTTGTGCGGGCAGACAATTATTGTATATGTTGAAAATGTTGTGCGGGCAGAAAATTATTGTATATGTTGAAAATGTTGTGCGGGCAGAAAATTATTGCATATGTTGAAAATGTTGTGCAGGCAGAAAATTATTGTATATATTGAAAATGTTGTGCGGGCAGAATATTTTTGTATATGTTGAAAATGTTGTGCGGGCAGAAAACTATTGTATATGTTGAAAATGTTGTGCGGGCAGAAGGCTTTTACATACATGGAATAAGTTTTGTAGACAGAAGATTATCATATACCTGGTATTGACAAAAGGCTATTGTAAGTCCGGATTAAACGGTATACTATTCAGACAAGTGTAGACAGATAGGTTGTTTTTGAGAAAATCATGTTCATTAACAAACAATATAAGTAACCTGAAGGTAACCAATAAAGTTGTTACCTTTCTGAATAGTCCCTGGTCTCGTTCCATGTACGTAGACAGGAAGTCACAGCCGTTACCGACTCGTCTATGTCGGAACAACCTTTGGCTGCGTTGAGGAAAAATAATATACAATGTTTTATTGAAATATCCGTATAAATATCCTCGATGACAATCTTACCTACAACGCAGGTATAAATGCAGTGGAAAAGGAATTCTTCGTGAATCTATTATTTTGTTATATATTAACTTTCTTATAATGATGTTAGTTATGAATGTCCTTTCAAAGATAATTTTAATCTGTTCTTGAACGAATAGTATATTGCTTCCTTACTGTGACTGATCCTTATTTAACTGTTTTAATAACTTTTCCTGTCTTCGTTTTTTCATCTCATTCTGATGTAATTGATCCTAAAGCTAGATAATCATCCATGGCTTATTCAAATGATAGTTATACAGTTGTCCGTTTCTCCAAATCGTGTCTAGGATGAGTTAATTAAGCAAAAGAGTTTGAACGCCAAATTCAGATAGTGTCATATAGGACGGCAATACTTAGGAAAAATGATATATAGCTCATTAATAGAGCCACAGATGGGTATATACATAGAACCAACAAGAACACTGCATAAATCTCTAAGACCTTTTTCTTTTTTCTTTCTTTCTTTCAAAATGCTGAAAAAACCGGTTGTGAAAATATCAATATTTTAAAGAGTAAATAAACACATAATGAAACGGGGATATAGCGCTTCTCGAGATACTTTTGACGACACTGGAAACAAACAACTGTAAAGTCGCCATCCAGACCTTTATTTCTTACTGCAGAATAAGAGTGTCTGACTGTAGAACATGATCACCGCGTCTTAGACCGTAGGTGACCTACACAATGATTTGTAAGGGGACAAAATGGTGGGTTCTGTAACGTCTGTTGAGAGTAACGCTCATCCTTCCAGGACACCGGCTCCGTTTTTTCATTATGTACCGCGTCCGTTCTTTTTTATAATGTATTTCCTTTTGAAGTTTCTGCTCGATCCTTGTAGTCTAGTATCGTTTTATGTTGACTCCGACATCCTTGGTATCGTTTATAATCTATGATATAGTTTATTCTATTAGTATTTTTGGTTTGCATATTTACATGGCATAGATAAGATATGTTCAGTTGTCTCCCTTTGCAGAACGAAAACCTGTATTTTTTATCTACATCCAGAATATCTTTGACCTTTCTTCTCGTTCCGGAAAATTATTTTAAACACCTACCTGTCATGCAGACACCGTCACCAAATTTTCGCGCGTCCTGGTCGTACACTGTGTCCAGGATAAAGGCTCTCGTCTCGTCACCAAATGAACACGTGATGTTTATTAGACTGGAATCAAGACACTCCATACTCTCTATGTAAGACCTGAAAGTAGCAAAACATGTATAAAGAGAATTATTCTCTATAATTGGTGATGATAACGAAGCTGCATGTTATGGATGATTATCATGTTATAGATGATTATCATGTTATAGATGATTATAGTGTTATAGATGATTATCATGTTATAGGTGATTATCATGTTATAGGTTATTATCATGTTATAGATGATTATCATGTTATAGGTTATTATCATGTTATAGATGATTATCATGTTATAGGTGATTATCATGTTAAAGATGATTATCGTGTTATAGATGATTATCATTTTATAGATGATTATCATGTTATAGATGACTATCGTGTTATAGATGATTATCGTGTTAAAGGTGATTATCGTGTTATAGATTATTATCATGTTATAGATGATTATCATGTGATAGATGATTATCATGTTATAGATGATTATAGTGTTATAGATGATTATCATGTTATAGATGTTTATCGTGTTATAGATGATTATCGTGTTTTAGATGATTATCGTGTTATAGATGATTTTTGTGTTATAGGTGATTATCGTGTTATAGATAATCATCGTGTTATAGGGGATTATCGTGTTATAGATGATTATCATTTTATAGATGATTATCATGTTATAGATGTTTATCGTGTTATAGATGATTATCATGTGATAGATGATTATCATGTTATAGATGATTGTCATGTTATAGATGATTATCGTGTTATAGAGGATTATCATGTTATAGATGATTATCATGTGATAGATGATTATCATGTTATAGATGATTGTCATGTTATAGATGATTATCGTGTTATAGATGTTTATCGTGTTATAGATGATTATCGTGTTAAAGGTGATTATCGTGTTATAGATTATTATCATGTTATAGATGATTATCATGGTATAGATGATTATCGTGTTATAGATGATTTTTGTGTTATAGGTGATTATCGTGTTATAGGTGGTTATCGTGTTATAGATGATTATCGTGTTATTTGTGATTATCGTGTTATAGATTATTATCATGTTATAGATGATTATCATGGTATAGATGATTATCGTGTTATAGATGATTTTTGTGTTATAGGTGATTATCGTGTTATAGGTGATTATCTTGTTATAGGTGATTATCGTGTTATAGATTATTATCATGTTATAGATGATTATCATGTGATAGATGATTATCGTGTTATAGATGATTCTCATGTTACAGATGATTATCATGTTATTGATGATTATCGTGTTATAGATGATTATCGTGTTTTAGATGATTATCGTGTTATAGATGATTATCAAGTTATAGGTGATTATCGTGTTATAGATAATCATCGTGTTATAGGGGATTATCGTGTTATAGATTATTATCATGTTATAGATGATTATCATGTGATAGATGATTATCGTGTTATAGATGATTATCGTGTTTTAGATGATTATCGTGTTATAGATGATTCTCGTGTTATAGGTGATTATCGTGTTATGGGTGATTATCGTGTTATAGATGATTATCATGTTATGGATGATTATCATGTTATAGATGATTATAGTGTTATAGATGATTATCATGTTATAGGTTATTATCATGTTATAGATGATTATCATGGTATAGATGATTATCGTGTTATAGATGATTTTTGTGTTATAGGTGATTATCGTGTTATAGGTGATTATCGTGTTATAGATGATTATCGTGTTTTAGATGATTATCGTGTTATAGATGATCATCCCGATAACAAACATGAAGTATAGGCTTTGATTTATGATAACAAAGACGCGAGGTATAAATGGTAATCCACGGTTATGCAGACCTGTTCATAATTTGGTATCCATGGTAACGATGACACGTGTTAAAGATAATTATCACCGAAAAGAAACACACGTGCCGGTGGGGAATTTTTTTTATTCGTGATAACAAAAACGCAGTGTATACTTTTGTATATGTTGTTATCCAAGAAAACGAAGACGCGTATTATAGACATCTGTCCATGGTAAGGAAGACACGTGGTATAGACAGCTGTCCATGGTAAGGAAGACACGTGATATAGATAGCTGTCCATGTAAAGGAAGACACGTGGTATAGACAGCTGTCGTTGGTAAAGAAGACACGTAGTATAGACATCTGTCCATGGTAAGGAAGACACGTGGTATAGACAGCTGTTCATGGTAAGGAAGACATGTGGTATAGACAGCTGTCCATGGTAATGAAGACACGTGGTATAGACAACTGTTCATGGTAAGGAAGACACGTGGTATAGACAGCTGTCCATGGTAAGGACAACGCGTGGTATAGACAGATGTCCATGGTAAGAAAGACACGTGGTATAGACAGTTGTCCATGTTAAGGAAGATACCTGGTATAGACAGTTGTCCGTGGTAAGGAAAATGCGTGGTATATACAGCCGTTCATGGTAATGAAGACACGTGGTATAGACAGCTGTCCATGGTAATGAAGACACGTGGTATAGACAGCTGTCTGTGGTAAGGAAGACACGTGGTATAGACAGCTTTGCATGTCAAGAAAGACACCTGGTATAGACATCTGTTCATGGTAAGGAAGACACGTGGTATAGACAGATGTCCATGGTAAGGACAACGCGTGGTATAGACAGATGTCCATGGTAAGGAAGACACCTGGTATAGACAGATGTCCATGGTAATGAAGACACGTGGTATAGGCAGCTGTCTGTGGGAAGGAAGACACGTGGTATAGACAGCTTTGAATGTCAAGAAAGACACCTGGTATAGACATCTGTTCATGGTAAGCAAGACACGTGGTATAGACAGATGTCCATGGTAAGGAAGACACCTGGTATAGACAGATGTCCATGGTAAGGAAGACACGTAGTATAGACAGCTGTCCATGGTAAGGAAAACACGTGGTATAGACAGCTTTCCATGGTAAGAAAGACACCTGGTATAGACATCTGTCCATGGTAAGGAAGACATGTGGTATAGACAGCTGTCCATGGTAAGGAAAACACGTGGTATAGACAGCTCTCCATAGTAAGGAAGACACGTGGTATAGACAGCTGTCCATGGTAAGGACAACGCGTGGTATAGACAGCTGTCCATGGTAAGGAAGACACCTGGTATAGACAGATGTCCATGGTAATGAAGACACGTGGTATAGACAGCTTTCCTTGGTAAGGAAGACACGTGGTATAGACAGCTCTCCATAGTAAGGAAGACACGTGGTATAGACAGCTCTCCATGGTAAGGACAACGCGTGGTATAGACAGCTGTCCATGGTAAGGACAACGCGTGGTATAGGCAGATGTCCATGGTAATGAAGACACGTGATATAGACAGCTTTCCATGGTAAGGAAGACATGCGGTATAGACAGCTGTTCATGGTAAGGAAGACACGTGGTATATACAGCTGTCCATGGTAAGGAAGACACCTGATATAGACAGATGTCCATGTTAAGGAAAATACTTGGTATAGACAGTTGTCCGTGGTAAGAAAGACGCGTGGTATATACAGCCGTCCATGGTAGTGAAGACACGTGGTATAGAGAGATGTCCATGGTAATGAAGACACGTGGTATAGACAGCTTTCCATGGTAAGAAAGACACCTGGTATAGACATCTGTCCATGGTAAGGAAGACACGTGGTATATACAGCTGTCCATGGTAAGGAAGACACCTGATATAGACAGATGTCCATGTTAAGGAAGATACTTGGTATAGACAGTTGTCCGTGGTAAGAAAGACGCGTGGTATATACAGCCGTCCATGGTAGTGAAGACACGTGGTATAGAGAGATGTCCATGGTAATGAAGACACGTGGTATAGACAGCTTTCCATGGTAAGAAAGACACCTGGTATAGACATCTGTCCATGGTAAGGAAGACACGTGGTATATACAGCTGTCCATGGTAAGGAAGACACCTGATATAGACAGATGTCCATGTTAAGGAAGATACTTGGTATAGACAGTTGTCCGTGGTAAGAAAGACGCGTGGTATATACAGCCGTCCATGGTAATGAAGACACGTGGTATAGACAGCTGTCCATAGTAATGAAGACACGTGATATAGACAGCTTTCCATGGTAAGAAAGACACCTGGTATAGACATCTGTCCATGGTAAGGAAGACATGTGGTATAGACAGCTGTCCATGGTAAGGAAAACACGTGGTATAGACAGCTCTCCATAGTAAGGAAGACACGTGGTATAAACAGCTGTCCATGGTAGGGAAGACACCTGATATAGACAGATGTCCATGTTAAGGAAGACACCTTGTATAGACAGCTGCCCATGGTAAGGAAGACGCGGGGTATAGACAGCCGTCCATGGTAATGAAGACACGTGATATAGACAGTTGTGCGTGGTAAGAAGACACGTGGTATAGACAGCTGTCCATGGTAATGAAGACACGTGGTATAGACAGCCGTCCATGGTAAGGAAGACATGTGGTATAGACAGCTGACCATGGTAATGAAGACACGTGATATAGACAGCTGTCCATGGTAATGAAGACACGTGGTATAGACAGCTGTCCATGGTAATGAAGACACGTGGTATAGACAGCCGTCCATAGTATGGAAGACATGTGGTATAGACAGATGTCCATGGTAAGGAAGACACGTGATATAGACAGCTGTCCATGGTAAGGAAGACACGTGGTATAGACAGCCGTTCATGGTAAGGAAGACACTCGGTATAGACAGATGTCCATGGTAAGGAAGGCACGTGGTATAGACAGCTGTCCATGGTAAGGAAGACGCTCGGTATAGACAGATGTCCATGGTAAGGAAGACACCTGATATAGACAGCTGTCCATAGTAAGGAAGACATGTGGTATAGACAGCTGTCCATGGTAAGGAAGACACTCGGTATAGACAGATGTCCATGGTAAGGAAGACACGTGGTATAGACAGCTGTCCATGGTAAGGAAGACATGTGGTATAGACAGCCGTCCATAGTAAGGAAGACATGTGGTATAGACAGCTGTTCATGGTAAGGAAGACACCTGGTATAGACAGATGTCCATGGTAAGGAAGACACCTGATATAGACAGCTGTCCATAGTAAGGAAGACATGTGGTATAGACAGCTGTCCATGGTAAGGAAGACACCTGGTATAGACAGCTGTCCATGGTAAGGAAGACACCTGGTATAGACAGCTGTCCATGGTAATGAAGACACGTGATATAGACAGCTCTCCATAGTAAGGAAGACATGTGGTATAGACAGCTGTTCATGGTAAGGAAGACACCTGGTATAGACAGATGTCCATGGTAAGGAAGACACCTGATATAGACAGCTGTCCATGGTAATGAAGACACGTGATATAGACAGCTGTCCATAGTAAGGAAGACACGTGGTATAGACAGCTGTCCATGGTAAGGACAAAGCGTGGTATAGACAGCTCTCCATAGTAAGGACGACACGTGGTATAGACATCTGTCCATGGTAAGGAAGACATGTGGTATAGACAGCTTTCCATGGTAAGAAAGACACGTTGTAGAGATTGTTATCCATGATAACGAAGACAACAGCAGGTTTTACTTACCTGCAGTATGCGTTTTTGTCCGTGCTTAAATCCACATACGCCACATCTTTCTCACAATTTATCATAGGACCGAATATAGGGCAAGCTGGAATAGAAATAAATAACGTTTAACTGTATATATGTTTGATAAAGAAACGATAGGTTATTATAGATGTGTAGATAAATACACTTACGCCATGAATTATCAGTCTTAATACTTGATACATTTAAGCATCCAAAAACGGTCTTATTATTTGAAAGACTAAATAAACGTGTGATTCTCAATATCATCTTATATCTGTTTTGCTAGTCTTGTTTGATTAATACAGGTACGAGTATGTGTCTCGGTGACGTAGGCCTAAACTGTACTAAACGAGTATATTTCAGTAACGTAGACCTTACCCGTTATACAGTGTTCCTTTAATATATACTGTTTCACAGACCCTGGTACAGGTTTTTGCTCTGTGACGTAAGTGTGTGTCCCTGTGACGTTAATATGTGTCTCTGTGACGTAGGCTCTACATGTATTATTTTAATGCTTTATATTGTAATTCAGACCCTGGCCTATGTGACGTATACATGACTTGTACCACAGGACTCCTTTATCCTATAATACAGAATCTGTTACAGGTATATAATTATGTCTCTGTGACGTACGTATATTGTATGTGTCGTAAGTGTATAGTTTGTGTCGTCAGTTTATAGTCTGTGACATAAGTATGAGTCTTTGTGATGTATACTTTACCTGTAATATAGGAATCCTTTATATTGTAATACAGAACCTGTTACAGGTATACATGTCTCTGTGACGTAAGTATATTGTATGTGACGTAAGTATACAGTCTGTGACGTAAGTATATAGTCTGTGAGGTAGGTATGTCTTTATGTGACGTATACTTTACCTTTACCACAGGACTCCTTTATCCTATTATACAGAATCTGTTACAGGTATATATTTCTCTGTGACGTAAGTATACAGTCTGTGACCTAAGTATATAGTTTGTGACGTAGCTATGTATCTATGAGGTGTATACTTTACCTGTACCACAGGACTCCTTAATATTGCTATACAGAACTAAGTACGGGATCGTGTCTTTAAAAGTTAGTTGACAGTCTTTTTTGGCCTTTTCGTGACACGCCGGTAAGGTTTGGGTAAGATTGCTACAATTACAGAAATTAATTTAATTAGTTAACAAAAATCGTGCTCTACCATACCATGTGAACTTTTGATAGATGTACAGATGTAATAACATGTTACGTGACACAAGAAACTTATTTGAAGTCGCATACATATTAACATTGAACATTAACTCTTTAGAGCTATTATTGCGATATATAGATAACCCATTGTGCCACGTGAGAAGATTGATATATGTGGTAAGTGTTAGAACAGGTGTTAATACCATAATGAAGTCATGTTATCATCAACGCCTTGAAATGGAAGTTATACTTCAATGTCTTGAAATAGCTAACTCTAGCAATCATGTCCAAAGTCTATGTGTTATCAGTTGAAAAGCCTCGTGAAACAAGTTTACAGACATTTCGTCGATGTTACTGATAATCAGAGAAATATCTATTGTACATTGTTATACGTGGGTAATGCTTCCTTACATGCATGTGCTGATCATCTGTCTGGTTCCAACACGAAAACTGATGGTCTCATTCGTCGCTCTAAGTTCGTCCGTACACGCCGCCATCTCCTGACAGTCACGGCTGACGGAGTAAACACACACCAGGGACACAAGCACTGTTGACAGGTAAATGTAATAATTAGATTAAAAATATACTCACTAGAACATTGTTATGGTTTGTTGTTTCGACAAAAAGATAGACATTAGAACTGATATTTGTGTACACCTCATTGAATCGTCTATTGTTTCAGCGGTGAAATTGTTTCCGAAAACAGTAACTGTTCCGGAAATAAAGGTTTCCCCTGATATCGAGGTGGTGCCCAACCTGGTCGAATCCAAGGGAGAAGAAGCTTAATGACACTGTGAACTCAAATCACAGCAGACACTGAAATATCCTAGTTGGAATTTAACCAAAAACAATGCCAACGTCATAATGACGATGACCGCAAAATGTCTTCAGTAACATCATGTGTGCAAGTGGTTTCTTGGTCAACAGGACACATTTAAACAAGAAATCGCGTACTGAGAACAGGCTCCATGAAGATACATTAACTATGACACAAAGAACTCTTGGTGAGAGAGCGAAGGTGTCACAAGAGAGTTCGAGGAAAGGCAAGATAACGAGCCTAACAAAGCCACATTGGCCATGATGATTAGTAGTAAGGTGACCATTATTGTCATACTGTAGGTAAATATCATATAGTCTCGTAGTGAGGTGTCAATTAACGTATTGTCATTCTGTATGTAAACGTTTTGAGAGTATTGTAGTGAGGTGACCATTATTGTCATGTTATATTGATTTCGGTAGTGAGTTGACCATTATTGTTATACTGTAGGTAAATGTCATAGAGTTCGGTAGTGAGTGACCATTATTGTCATGTTATATTGAGTTCGGTAGTGAGTTGACCATTATTGTTATACTGTAGGTAAATGTCATAGAGTTCGGTAGTGAGTGACCATTATTGTCATACTGTAGGGAAATGTCATAGAGTGATAATTAATTAATGTCACGCGGTAGGAAAATGTTTTAGAGTTCGGTTTACGAAGCTCCTCTCCTTCGGTTAGGATGTCGATCATTTGCTGGAATTTTCTTCTATAAAATACGAACAAAAAATACCTCTCGGACAAAACTGAACTCAAAATCGACAGGTCATATATAAACATGGGATAATGAAAACAAACATAACTTATCAATCCTCACAAAACTGGGGGCGATACCAGATGTTCCGGAAGGGATAACGTTTCCTTTCCCACAAGTAACACTCGTCGTCTCTAATCCAGGGTTATATATAGGTCATTAACAAAATAGGGCACAATAAAGTATATAATGATGATCTCATAGGTATGAATTAGGTCATAATGACCTTAAAATTTCGTCAGCATAATTTGCAGTCTTTTAGGTAGACAACCCGGTGTAATTAGTGTTTTGGTCATCCAAACCCATCTCTATAGAACATTCTGATACGTCGAACAATCAGATGGTTACATGGGACATAGACCAGAATAAACGCCTTATCAACAAAACTTCAAGCAGCGTTTCTTTACCGAAAACAGCGATTGAGATGTGCTGGTTTACGCGGTTGACATATTGTGATATATTTGATATCCTATAAAGTGACTTTCGAACATCAGCAATGAAATACTGATATCACTATTAATGTATAAAGTGCAAATAGCTATGTCCGTGCCAACTAAATAATTCATGTGTATACGCACATCCACTCGACCTTAGAACGCATGAGTAATGGTATATATAAGTACTATGTATTGAAATATATTATTTGAAAACAGTTTATATTTACTGTGGTATATACATGTACAATATTATTGTCATACTTTTTAAAAATTGTTTTTTTTCCCTTTTTGGAGTGGTATATGCAAGAACGTTTGTTTTCAATGTTATGATTACACATTTATCATTACCTTTGTACATATTATACATTGACTATGTATGGTAATATTTTTTTTATTACGTTCTATTTTTAACCTGTTACTATATTGTAATGTTTACCATAGTCTGTGTTTACTATAGTATCAGGTGTAATTTATATTTAATACACTTTATTTGATCGTTTTATATACATGTACTTGTACAATACATTGTAATACAATGCACGTGAGTACAGTAACGGGGTACTGTGGAGTGTATGTCTAGTGTTTATCAACATCATCCAAGCCAGTTAACGTATGCTAATGTGTTGTTAATGATCAAACGTCTTCAGTGTATACAGACAACCTATGATAACAGTATAACACCAATCATCTGTATGGCATCATCACTATGTATGCAAACCGTGCTACACCGGAATAATGATGTCCGGAGTTATACTAACAGTCTTCGTTTCCTATGGTTAGTCTAGACTTTCTTAAAGATTTCAGCTCACTTCCGTCTTAAAAACGGCCAACTTTTAAGTCATGTTCGCCATAATTGATATCGCTGGTGACTGATAAATCTTGTTTTCTGAGATGAAACTCATTCATCCCTGAGGACACAATTGAACTCCTCCAATTCAAAGGTTGGGATAGGTCATTATGATATTTCAGGGGTGAATGAGTTAATTGGAGACGTTATGACGCGTGCTACATTTGGTACAGACCAATCTAATGCATTACCTTCCCTGAGTACCTAGTGTCACCTTGGCGTTTATATCTTTGTGTCACCACTGTTACTGTAGTGTTAGGTTTGTATTACTCTCCCTGAGTACCTAGTGTCACCTTGGCGTTTATATCTTTGTATCACCACTGTTACTGTAGTGTTAGGTTTGTATTACCCTCCCTGAGTACCTAGTGTCACCTTGGCGTTTATATCTTTGTATCACCTCTGTTACTGTAGTGTTAGGTTTGTATTACCCTCCCTGAGTACCTAGTGTCACCTTGGCGTTTATATCTTTGTATCACCACTGTTACTGTAGTGTTAGGTTTGTATTACCCTCCCTGAGTACCTAGTGTCACCTTGGCGTTTATATCTTTGTATCACCACTGTTACTGTAGTGTTAGGTTTGTATTACCCTCCCTGAGTACCTAGTGTCACCTTGGCGTTTATATCTTTGTATCACCACTGTTACTGTAGTGTTAGGTTTGTATTACCCTCCCTGAGTACCTAGTGTCACCTTGGCGTTTATATCTTTGTATCACCACTGTTACTGTAGTGTTAGGTTTGTATTACCCTCCCTGAGTACCTAGTGTCACCTTGGCGTTTATATCTTTGTATCACCACTGTTACTGTAGTGTTAGGTTTGTATTACCCTCCCTGAGTACCTAGTGTCACCTTGGCGTTTATATCTTTGTATCACCACTGTTACTGTAGTGTTAGGTTTGTATTACCCTCCCTGAGTACCTAGTGTCACCTTGGCGTTTATATCTTTGTATCACCACTGTTACTGTAGTGTTAGGTTTGTATTACCCTCCCTGAGTACCTAGTGTCACCTTGGCGTTTATATCTTTGTATCACCACTGTTACTGTAGTGTTAGGTTTGTATTACCCTCCCTGAGTACCTAGTGTCACCTTGGCGTTTATATCTTTGTATCACCACTGTTACTGTAGTGTTAGGTTTGTATTACCCTCCCTGAGTACCTAGTGTCACCTTGGCGTTTATATCTTTGTATCACCACTGTTACTGTAGTGTTAGGTTTGTATTACCCTCCCTGAGTACCTAGTGTCACCTTGGCGTTTATATCTTTGTATCACCACTGTTACTGTAGTGTTAGGTTTGTATTACCCTCCCTGAGTACCTAGTGTCACCTTGGCGTTTATATCTTTGTATCACCACTGTTACTGTAGTGTTAGGTTTGTATTACCCTCCCTGAGTACCTAGTGTCACCTTGGCGTTTATATCTTTGTATCACCACTGTTACTGTAGTGTTAGGTTTGTATTACCCTCCCTGAGTACCTAGTGTCACCTTGGCGTTTATATCTTTGTATCACCACTGTTACTGTAGTGTTAGGTTTGTATTACCCTCCCTGAGTACCTAGTGTCACCTTGGCGTTTATATCTTTGTATCACCACTGTTACTGTAGTGTTAGGTTTGTATTACCCTCCCTGAGTACCTAGTGTCACCTTGGCGTTTATATCTTTGTATCACCACTGTTACTGTAGTGTTAGGTTTGTATTACCCTCCCTGAGTACCTAGTGTCACCTTGGCGTTTATATCTTTGTATCACCACTGTTACTGTAGTGTTAGGTTTGTATTACCCTCCCTGAGTACCTAGTGTCACCTTGGCGTTTATATCTTTGTATCACCACTGTTACTGTAGTGTTAGGTTTGTATTACCCTCCCTGAGTACCTAGTGTCACCTTGGCGTTTATATCTTTGTATCACCACTGTTACTGTAGTGTTAGGTTTGTATTACCCTCCCTGAGTACCTAGTGTCACCTTGGCGTTTATATCTTTGTATCACCACTGTTACTGTAGTGTTAGGTTTGTATTACCCTCCCTGAGTACCTAGTGTCACCTTGGCGTTTATATCTTTGTATCACCACTGTTACTGTAGTGTTAGGTTTGTATTACCCTCCCTGAGTACCTAGTGTCACCTTGGCGTTTATATCTTTGTATCACCACTGTTACTGTAGTGTTAGGTTTGTATTACCCTCCCTGAGTACCTAGTGTCACCTTGGCGTTTATATCTTTGTATCACCACTGTTACTGTAGTGTTAGGTTTGTATTACCCTCCCTGAGTACCTAGTGTCACCTTGGCGTTTATATCTTTGTATCACCACTGTTACTGTAGTGTTAGGTTTGTATTACCCTCCCTGAGTACCTAGTGTCACCTTGGCGTTTATATCTTTGTATCACCACTGTTACTGTAGTGTTAGGTTTGTATTACCCTCCCTGAGTACCTAGTGTCACCTTGGCGTTTATATCTTTGTATCACCACTGTTACTGTAGTGTTAGGTTTGTATTACCCTCCCTGAGTACCTAGTGTCACCTTGGCGTTTATATCTTTGTATCACCACTGTTACTGTAGTGTTAGGTTTGTATTACCCTCCCTGAGTACCTAGTGTCACCTTGGCGTTTATATCTTTGTATCACCACTGTTACTGTAGTGTTAGGTTTGTATTACCCTCCCTGAGTACCTAGTGTCACCTTGGCGTTTATATCTTTGTATCACCACTGTTACTGTAGTGTTAGGTTTGTATTACCCTCCCTGAGTACCTAGTGTCACCTTGGCGTTTATATCTTTGTATCACCACTGTTACTGTAGTGTTAGGTTTGTATTACCCTCCCTGAGTACCTAGTGTCACCTTGGCGTTTATATTTTTGTATCACCACTGTTACTGTAGTGTTAGGTTTGTATTACCCTCCCTGAGTACCTAGTGTCACCTTGGCGTTTATATCTTTGTGTCACCACTGTTTCTGTAGTGTTAGATTTGTATTACCCTCCCTGAGTACCTAGTGTCCCCTTGGCGTTTATATCTTTGTGTCACCACTGTTTCTGTAGTGTTAAGTTTGTGCCGATTTTATACATTTAGGTTAACGCTACAGTTCATTTTTTCCCGTTTTAAGTTTATTAAGGCTTTTTGATTTTGTAGGAAATACCAATAATATTGCTTTGATTAGGAAGCCATTATGTGACATCACACTTCTTGCATGGAACAAGAATTGGTAATGTTTATAAATGGAAGAGAGGTTTTGAAGTCATTGTACTTTAAGATTTGTCAAATTAGAAATTTATCAAAATTATTTATCTTATATGTTTTAAAGCACATATTCCTCAAAATAACTAAGAAATTTCTCCTAGAACTTTTAAATATTAGATAATGTTTAAAGTTATTTCTAAAATTAAGTGCATCGTTAACACTGGAGAATCAATACTGTCAGGAATTGTTGTATATTGAAAAGTTGCAGATTTGAGTAATCATATTGAGAGCAATAATGGTTAGTTATCTGTATAGATAAATACCAAGTCAGGTGGTATATTGTAAATGGGTGTATTAATTCCTATCGTTAACCAGGTGTTAAACAGACAGACATGGATGTTCCTGAGATGATTGTACCGATGCTGTAGGCAGTGGCTAGTAACGGTGATGTATGTACCCTTTGAGGTTTCCTGTATTAACAGAAACGAGTCTGTTTAGGATTCAATATAATCCGACAAGCGGTGGGCCTAACATAACATTCCGCATAGGGATTATATATTGTCATAAAGCTCTCTACATAAATCAGAGCATGCTGTTCTATTGTACTTGTGGATCTCAAGAATATGTTCCGTCTTGTCGAGTAGCAGACATATCTCCAACAGCAGCTACATCTGATGTAATCAGGACTGAAGTAGGCCAGACTGTCAACATTATGTCCACGACAGTAAATATACCTCTCTGAGATCGAGATCCTCCAACACCATTAGCCTCAGTGTAAAGATGGCTTCTCTCACCTACTGGCATTCACGTTACTGCGTCGCGTCCCTCACTAATTAATTGTTACTGGAATCACGGATAAGCTTACACTATTACACATTCATCACTCCCCTTTGGTTTGATACAAAGCGAAGTCTGTGAGTGAGATGGGAACAATCCGACTTGGTTGTAGAATGGAAACCTCATTTGCCAAAAAGCCTTGGAAGCGATAGTAGTATTAATGGAAGGTGCTGTGATTACATCTGCTACGGCGTAACAAAGGACTATACTTTTACAATCGATATCTCTGACATGGATTTTACTGCTTGTCGTGGCACCACCATACAATACTGTTTTATAATTCAGTTTGATATTAAAATCCCACAGTCAATGACAAGTCGTCCTCGTATAGCCGCATTGTTGTTGTATTTCAGTGATTGTTGTAAAATGGATCATTCAATATGTATCTGATGCTGGTAATATTTTTGTCTATCATCATTTTTTACTTTAATTTATTATGTGTTTTGTAACTCATGTATACGTGTACCCTTTTTACCCACTGTAGACCCTTTATCGGTAATACAGTATAATGTATCTTATATATATTATAATATCGTCAATAATTCACGTGACTTTCATTTCGTCTACATACACTTTCCTTGTTACATGTAGGTATTGTTCTGCGTAAGAACGGTATCAAAATCAATCGATTGTTAAATTTACTCAAATATTCGGCTAATGACAGACAAGATCCATTGTCGGTAGGAGCTAGTCCATAATTATCTATAGAGTACATACCTGACAACAATGTCCAAACCGTACGCCCTTGTGCTGTCATTGCTGCCCGTGTGTATTTCTCCGTTATTTCCAACATGTGTAAGATGCTTCTTTCTGTGATGATAGTCCTCGTCTTAGTGAAGTCTCCTGGTCCGTAGTGGACGTGTGTTGTACAATGCACACGTGAGAGAGACGATGCCCGTGCGCCGGGTGACTAAACATCCGTCCATTGTGTCCCGGAGGTGGGATACACATGGTATCAGCCTCAGAGTGCGGGCCTGTGCGAGGATCAGCCAGACACGGCGGAGTGGGCGTTTCCTACGCTACGTATGATAATGAGAAGTGATGACAAGGACTGAAAATTACATTTTATTTGTAGGACGGATACTTTCATGAAATCAGCTATTGAACACTTTTGACATGCACTATTTTATTAAAAACAAATAGGAATTTATCGTTACCAAATAAGGTGTTATTACATTAACTATCCCTCAGTGAAAATATAACTCTTCTCTTCTGTTTGTTGTTGGGTTAGGAAAATATATACTAAGTCATTGTTAGGCATGTAAACAATACAACATATATCTATACGAGTGTTTTAGTACGCCCCTAGTAAAGGTTACTTTCACCTCTTTAGAGATTCATCCTCTAATAGGGAGATACTAAGAAACTCTTTTGTCATTTCTTTTATATTTAACCATCTCGTGTACTTTTTTTGTGTGTATAATTGGTATTTAGTACAGTATGATTATGGGTGAAACTAATCTGTTAAACAATACATTTAAATGATGAGAAACGTTACAAATTCTAACCTAAGTGTCATCATCTTCTATGTGATCAAAATCAAAGCAAAAAGTGTTTAAGGATGAACGTAAAGCACAAACATGGGATTGCACATTACAATTTGGTGATAAAATTATTGCTAACGTGTGTATACGAACCGCGCCACTGCAAAGGTAAAACTTTCAAATCACAGAAAAATGAATAAGCCTTAGCGTCATACATAAATAGAGACAAAACATAAACGGGATCCCAACCGACACCTGAGGATACACGTATCATCAGATACCGAAGGATAAGCGTTTCAACCTACGAGGTACCTTTCAACATCTCTTGGTTAATCAAGGAAACACATTTATGATGTAGTCTCCGATGTTCCCCATTCTTGATAGTCAGTGGCGGGGTTGGTTATATAAACACACTTTACTCCTCTTTATAAGAAAATAACCAATAATCCTCAAATTCTTGAAAATAATGTAATTAAGCGGTTTTATACTCCTCCATTTCTGTTTCAACTGCAGTTTGGACCAATTTTGACTTCAATCTAATAGGCCCCTGGCATCCCGTATGAGTCCTAGAAGGACGAAACCTTCGTCTGGTGCAGTGTTTCATTTTGGTATGCTGTATCTACATGTAGTACCAAATTTCATAGATGCAATCACGTGTGCTTCTCACGTTCAGTCATCTCATAGCTGGATCATGTGATCATTAATTTTATTTAAATGTTGTCTATAATTATCAGTATTGCAAGACTATTTTGCATTCCCAATGCCAGGTCCTGGTGCCCGTTCCTCACGCATCTATCAAGATTATACAAGCACTACTGATATGAAGAACAGGCTGTGTAGTAACTATGTTCCTGTATCAATAGGGAAACTGGTATATCCCTTTTAGAAAAAGAAGTCGAAATGTATTGTCATAAACTTTAAATGGTCACATTTGGCATGGTGTAACCATTGTTGTCGTATTGCAGTTAGATATCAACACATGAAGCAACCGTGAAAGAACCTGCTGTGTCCTTATTTCCAAGTTGCTTGGTATATAACATATGCAAATATGTATCTCAAACTCCTTATTTATCACTGATAAAACATTAACAAGTCTGAATATAAAATTTAAAGGCCCGGGCACGAATACTGTCTTCATTCTCCGATAATCCTTGTATGAAGTCATCTTTGTAAGAATTCAAAACAGATCAGGAAGAAGTGGCTTAAAGTAAGCCTAAATATAAGGCAATCTACCTGATTTATGTTATCCTGGTTGCATACACTATGGAGATGCGGAACGTCCCAAGGAATTAAAAGATGGCGTTTCAAAAACCAAATGTCAATATATACACCTAATTCATTACTAAATTGAAATAAACCTGTTCTTCCCTTATTTTTTAAAAACTCGTTTAGTTACCGGGCTTTACGCATCTGCCCTTCTGCTTCAACAGTAGTTTATACTAATTTGGATGTCCACCTCTTTGACCCCTATCATCAGTAATGATTTTTAGAAATGAAACAGCTGTATGGTTCGGTCTAATCAATATTTGACATACGGCATCGATTGTCAAATTTTAAAGGTACGATCGCCTGTTTATGTCTTTCTTTCATATTTCGAGATACAAGGCAGTGTACTCTGCTGGTTGATGTTTTTGTCCTAGAGGTTAACGTAGCGTTAATAGCCCCAAGTATACTGAGTAACTCTTTCTAATAACGGCATGGTTCATAATATACACACCTTACTCATATTATTAAACTGAAATTAACCATTACTCATATATTTTTTTAAACTTATGTAACTTAGAAAATTGACCAATCTCCCCTTCTTTTTCACCATGGGTTAAGACCGATTTAGATTTCTATAAATTGGCACCCAGCTTCTCCTATGTGTTAAAAGACGAAATAGCTGAATACCACAGAGTAAATAATGTATGGGTGTAAATACCATTGAATGTGTCTTACGTTCATCTTTCGAGATACAAGGCGGTAGAATCTTCAGTTGGGTTTCTCTGTTCCCAAAGTTTGACGTAACCTTTATTATATTTATTATATCTTTTTATTCAATTATCTTTTTTTGAATGATAGCACAGTTCCTAATATGCACACTTAACTCATTATTTATATTAATGAACCAGTATTTCAATTAGTTTTAAGCATTATATGATTAAGGGGTAATGCGCACCTGTCTTTCTATTCAAATAGTTCAGGCCTGTTTAGATGTCACAATTTTTGGCCCCTATGATCACCTTTGAGTACTTGAAAGACGAAACCGCTGTATGTCGTTGTGTATTTAATTTTTGGTTTACTGTATTTATTACCAAGTTTAATTTGTGCAAACACCTATGAGTCTTACGTTCATACAAGGTGGAAAACTATGCTAGTGGATTTCTTCGTCTCCCAGGTGACCCTAAACCTGTTCACGTCCGATCGGGGAATCGAACCCCAGCCGCCTTAGTGAAAGGCAAGTGCGCTGACCACTGCACCACCCGCCAAACCTACCAAAGGTGTTTAATCCTCCTTCCCTTCTGTTTCAACATTGGTTTAGACCCGTTAGGATTACCACCTATTTTCCACTAGAATCACCGATGAATCCTACTATGATGAAACAGCTATATACCGCAGTGTTGTTATCTTCTGGCATACTGTAATTATATTACTAAACTTTATAGGTACAATATGTACAATCACACGTGTTTGTCCTACGTGAACCATGTAACAGAAGCAAAAAAAAAATAAGGCGAACAAAATAAGGTATTTTGTGACATTTAAGAGACAATTTATTGTGTTACATTGACATTTTAATTGTTTATCCAAGATTCAAACCCATTTATAAAGTACGTAATGTAATTACTTTCGATCTTAATATGCATAACAATACATTTTATCCGAATTCTATACCCTGTGAACCTTGACGCATATGATTTTTCTCTGAAGCGCTATGATTTTGATAGTTTCAAAACAGGCGCCGGTATAGTCACTTGAGTTTTGTATTAAAATGACCTGGACGGATGTCCCTCTGATATCATGTCCGTGTCCTGAGTCAGTATCCGTCGTGATCTGAGGTAACAGGCGGCGTCACCAGTAAGTCGATAGGTCACCAATAACAGTTAAGATGGGAGCATAGTTAACATGTTATGCAACACGTAGACACTGAAGGGAAATTCATTTAACAAAGGACATCAGACAAACCGTGCTAAAGTAATTAAAAAGAAAAAAATATGAAGATTGGTTTAGTTCTTTGTGTTACGTCCAATTAACATTTAAGGACGAGTCAGGTTTTAGTGGAGGAAAACAGGAGTACCCGTACAAAAACTATCGGCCTGCGACCAGTACCTGGCGACTGCCCCACTTATGACTCGCACCTGCGACCCAGCGGTGGAGGGCTAGTGATCACAAACGGTCAGATGCCTTAACAACTCGGCCACCGCGACCCCCTTAATATTAAGAATCAGCATTGTTTACTCTTAAAGGTTAAAAAGTAATACATCGTCCAATCATTAATATTATAGATAAAATTCATGTCTCCTGTCTAATCTAAGATTTTAAAAACAGTGAATAATTCTATATTGATATTAGGCAACATAATAATTGACCAACAGTTTTGCAGCATGAACGACATATACAATATGAAAAAAATAATGGTTATAACGGATGATATCGTATACGATAACTGAGATTCAAGGTTTTCCAGAACAAAATTAGGAAGTTATCAGAGTCTGTATTTGATTGATATCACTATATTTGATTGATATCACTACATTTGATGTCCGCCGTTTAAGACTATGTAATTAGTGCTTGTAAGGACACTTGTTTATCTTTAAAGAAAAAGTGTCCATGCTTCAATTTTTTTATTTGATACACCAAATGATTGGAGGACAAAAGTAGGATTAATAAATATCTCGACTCTAGAGAATTATATATGAGTAGAAGTAGTATCACCAACAGTACAAACAATGTTTCGAGATATCGTCTACATTGGGCCCATCAATTCACTTTGACTTAAACTAAATACAGGTGACTGACACACCTCATTTCGTAATAGCTAAGATTGAATTTATAATTACATTTGTGATTAGTATTCGAATATCATGTTCATAAATTATACTTTCTCTATCTAAAGATATGGAAACACTGAGAAAGGTAAATACAATGTTTATTCAAGAAGCTCTGTCAAATAACATTTCAAACGAAACACTTAAAAATCAGAATGTGTTTTATTTGTGGTTACTTAAACTAACGGTATGAAATATAAAACAGTAACATAGCAAGCAATCAAGCAAAACTAACAAAACCATCTGTAGAAAAGATATTAATGATGAATCGGGTTTAACTAACAGATCTTGTGATTCTAAATGAAAAAACATGCTAAAAACGACCGATAAATTGCATAATGCACAGCTTAACAATTACTTATCTTGTGCACCGTCCCTTTTAATGGTATGTGAATGCTATGATATTTATGACTATACCATTTATTAGAACGGGGTTATGTTTAAAATGACCTTTTGTTTAAAAGAGGTACGCATAAACAGATCTTTTCTGTACGAAGTTATTTCGTTCAACATCACACGATTAGCAAAAATAGTAAATCCTCGTCGAAATTGTTCTCATTAAAGTTATCAGTAAATCTGGATATGGATATAAACTTAGTGGATATGTTTCTGAACTTTGTATTCCGACAAAGCTGATAAAGGGATTATTTCAGAAGGCCAATGAATAACCATACTTCCCTAGGACTTCATCTTCAGGAATAGATTAGAAGATTGGAATGCCTTTCAGCCTTGTGCTATTCGAGTTCTCTTTCTTTTACTACTTTCGTACTTTGGTTTGGTTCCTTCCTCCCCAATATCGTTGTCCTAGCAGTAATGTAGGGAGGATAGGAAACAAGCACAATCACTTTCGAGATAGATACATCTTTTCACTTGTTGTGAAGCATATACATGCAATTAAAGTCTTATTTTCTATAGTACATTGACATTCCATATAATTTATTTATCTTAAGTTATATCATAATATCCCTCTCATTCCTACTCCAACACAAACACTTTATAATTGTATATAGATGATGATTGCGTCATAAAACCATGAATTCCTGTATGACTAGACATGTATAGTACAGATTTGTGACTTAAAGTTTCAGATTATCATTGCAAAAGTGACATCTTTCATATACATTTCTCACAGTGAGTTGTCAAATTGAGTGTTAGGAGGACGAAACAGCTGTGCGGCGCAGTATTAATTAATTTTCAGCTTACTGTATCTATTATTTTTAATGGTCCAATTTACTGTGTGTGTTACGTTAATCTTTCACGATACCGGGTGGTAGACTCTGCTGGTGGATTACCTAGCCCCCGAGGTTTGCTGTAACCTTGATGGCCACAGATATCTCTTTTCAGTAGTGGTAGGGTACATAATATAACACTTTACAGACCATTTAAACTGAAATTAAACATAATATAAACACTTTACGGACCATTTAAACTGAAGTTAAACAGTACTCCTCATGTTTTTAATTCATAATAAAGGAGTTTTACCCCCTTGTCCCTCTTTTGCAACAGTACTTATAATTTGAGAAATTTGGATTTCCAACATTTTGGTGTAATTCATGTTTAGCTTACTGTTTCTATTACTTAAACTCATTTCGTTTTAACTAGCACGGTTTTCGCTTTGAGGCCGTTACATCAATAGGATTTATTTTTGTTGTTGCTGTTATTTATGAATGCGTATTTGTTACCGTGTTTCATACCAAATCCTCACAATCGCTTTATGAAATTTTTGTTTGCATACCACTATAAAACGTCATGAAAGCCCCGACAATAGCTTTTGATAGGATGTTAAACAATACTAAACCAAACTAAACCAAACCAGTCCATTTACAACTGTATAGACACCCTTGTTTAACATGTATGAACAATCATGTACTAAGCAATCATGAACTTATGAACAATGTCCTATATGTTTTGTCTTGTAAGAAAACCAAAGAAAAACCGTCCATCAGCGAAACAAAGCAATGCGTCCGATAGCGACGCCTCAAAATAATGACACAAATATAACCACGTGAGATACCAACAAACGATGAGGTTATGGATATTGTTTTTAACAGCGGGTTATAAGTATGCAGTATGGCCATTTGCTGGCCTGCTGGCGACAGAATTCCCTGATGATGAGATGGTTTTAAACTGGATTATAGAAAAAAACCTGAAGAAAAAACTAGATGTAACCAGCTCGTTAACGAGAAAAAAATGATTATTAGACTTTAACACACCGACTTTAACTACTGATTTATTAACATTAAAAGTAAAAAATAACAAGTTATTTCATGAAAACGAAAATATTCTTATAACTACATCGGTATTGTTCAAAATGATTCTCAAACTATATATACATATGCATTAACAATACAATCATTCATATTAGTTTTGAAAAAAGCAGCTTATGTATAAATATTATATTCTTCTATAATCCGAAATATCTCATAAAAAATAATCTTCAAGGCTTCAAAAAAACCGAAGGACAAATAACAGTTCGATTGGGTGGATTTAAGACAAGGTTTGCTTAGATGGTATCAGAAGCTTGACGCGTCAATCGTTAGACCAAGAATTTTACTTACAAAAAATGTACATATCCTGATTCATAATACCAAAAATAATTACAAACATTGATAGCGATATGCATAGCATCAGTTGGCATGTAACAACACACCGACGTCACACAGTGTCATACATTTTACATGTATGGATTTATTTTCTTTCAATACTTCAATACTTACATGACATAAAAGCAAGCATTTAATTTAATTTCTGAAAACAGCAAATATTTCATATATAGAATAGAAATATACACTTAAATCAAGATATAACCAAACAATAACTCCTAATAAGGTTCTAGGCCACGTGTTTAAACAGTGAAAACACAATACTTATTTTAGCAACACCACGCATCATCTGGTTTCAATAAATTTGAAATAGATACATTAACACCAATAGTTCCCACACTAACACCAGTAGTTCCCACACTAACACCAGTAGTTCCTCACTAACACCAGTAGTTCCCACATTAACACCAGTAGTTCCCTCCCCTGATTCTCTATCGTACTACATGTAACATTGATTCAGTATCTTTTCTATGCACTTAATAGTATAGAAGATGGAATGTGTGTAATAACTAATCTACATGTCATGTGATACAAGTGAAATATGATTTCAGGCAATTTTGGCGTGACTTTATAATAAACAATAGGATATTAAGTAAGTGTTTTGGTAAATAATCTATGGAAAAACAGTGACATTTTTGCTATTATCAAATTATAGATGACAACATATCCCAGCAGAAAAATTGATACTTCCTACAAGGAGGCCATACCGTCGTAGTATTAAAACACGTATTGAAACAAAATGACAATGATTTGGTTCCTTGTTTATCATAAGTGCATATTTTCCGGCTTAACGTTACCACTGATATGGTGCATGACATTGGATTAAAATATATTTACTGTACGAGATGCACCATCTAGTCATTGCACACTTCCCGTCCTTATGTATTTAGATAACGGTGATTAACAGTTAAGATGAGTCCTGTTTCCGCTGATCTTCTACTTGGTCTTTAACATGTCATGTGTTGATACGTCACTCAGTGTGACCCAAATCTATGTATGGAATGCACTACGTATAACTCGAGATCTGTACCTACTACAAACTCATACAAACATATGTATAACACACAGCAAAGTCACCATGACAACTGGAAACACTCTGGCCTTGTTCCCTGAAAACAGAAATGTGAATCATATTACCAGTATTTGTTCGTTTTGAATTAGAAAACGTCAGCCAGGATTCATGTCTTTATCTTCCAAACAATTAACTTCTTAAGACATTTGTTATTCTGTGTGTAGTTAACTTACAGTATAATCATATATTAGTACCATCCCAGATTAATCGGCCTGATGGAACTTATTGAAATAAAATTGTGTGAACTGAACATATTCATTTCGAAACAACCTTCCCTTCAAAATAAATAATTTAAACAAAACAATAAAAATAGCGGACGAATATTTAAATAAAAAGTCTAGATGGAATTGACCATGCAGAAAAGTAAAATATCAAGACCATCAGACGACCATCATGGCTCATGAGCTAGTCCCGAACATAACAGTACAGCCATGCATATATCATTGGCGTTTAATTGATAAGAAATTGGTCAGGAGGAACTTCAAAGAGAGTAAAATTTGATCTGTCCCGTTATCCCTTAGTGTGCGCGCGCAGCTTATCTGCTCTACGATGGTTCTGCATCATTCACACCCATGCCTAAAGCAAAATGATTCTACCCAAGCGACAACGCACTTTGTTTGTAAAATTGTATTTCTCTTCGGTTTACAGGATTTCTTCATACATAATATAGTCGTTGGTGGATGTTATCACAGTTGCCGTACCACGACATAATCTCTGCACAATGCACTCAAAATGTCAACATATAACACTAGTTAAGCCATGGGCTTGAGTGGTGCACTTACAGCATTGTATTTTGTCCTACTTTCCCTCCACTATACAAACTTGCATGATAAGAGTATTTCCGGTTATGATGTGTAATTAAGTAAAGCACAAAATAGTGAAATAAGAATCACACAATATCCATTTCTTAACAAGCACGCATTTCATTCTGGTGGTAATAGTTTTTACCCAGGGAGTTTACTTTTTCATTTCATCAAGAGCTCATATCCCTTTACTTTTGTACGGGGACAAAACAATCTTATCATGCAAAATCTTAAGAAGTAATTGTGCACGTGTTTTACCTGTGTTACATGGCATGATACCGTAGTTATGTCCTGTACACCCCGCGTTCTCGTCATCCTGGTCCACGTGCAGCACGTTCCGCTTACTACACTGACTCTCCACAAGTTGTGCAGTCTGGTTCAGCCCGGTGTTACTCAGTCCAGCACGTGCACATGTCCTTACATCCGAGGATGTGCAAAACGTGTGAATTGATTTAGGCATGTTGTGCATCACACGAAATAGTTTACACATCTCGGAAATGGTGTTACACAGACAGGTCGCCGTCGTTATTGCATCTCTGAAAACAGAAAAGTTAACACATTTTTGAAAACAGAAATCTAATACATCTCTGAAAACAGAAAAGTTAACACATTTCTAAAAACAGACAAGTTAAGAGTAACTGTAGTGCTGCAATATTTTTCAAGTAAAGAAAGATTGATAAATAGAACACTCAAAAAAATCACATTTTTATTTTTTTTTGCAAAAATACCGAAGTTGTAACCTTTTTACTAAATTTCACACCTGAGCGCAAATCGGAAAATCTCCGATTTTGACCTAGGCCGGAAGTGACGTAGCAGCGGTGACCCAAACTCAGGTAAGCTCGGGTAGCCATTACGAAACACTATCAAAACATCTTCGTCATGTCCGTGATTTACAAAGAAAACACGCCGGTATCTCGCTGTGGTCGACGTTGTGTTGCAGGAGGATGCTTCAATACTACTATCAATGGAGTTTCCATGCATACTTTTCCTGCAAAGAGACTTGATATTCACCGACAATGGGTTGCTTTTGTGTCAGAGAAGAAAACGCAAAGATTGGGAGCCGACTCGTCACACAGTGTTGTGCAGTGCCCACTTCGAGGAAGATTGTTTTCCACTGAAATTCCGGTTAGGACTGTTAGAATCAAGTGGGAAGACTGTGAAGTCCTCTTCACTAGAAGAAGATGCCGTCCCTACTATTTTCAATACTACAACGACACCGACAATGTCGACACCGACCATGCTGACACCTCGTGGGAAACGTCCCTCAAGCCCCGAGACTGATTTGACAACACCGAAGACTGTGAAAAGGCCTAGGTCGGCATTCGTTAAAAGGGACATCCAACGTGTGAGTGTTTATATGTGTTTCCTATATAAATATATTATCTGTAATCTTGTACTGATGACCAATGATTTCTACACGTGTAACCTGTTTCGACGGAAATCCTATTTCGACTTTTTTGGTTCAAATTAATGTGACACTGTTCAGGGCCCTGTGTGAATGTGTAAAGGTAATAGCTTTAAATCTCAATACCTTAATAATATGTCAATATCTTAGTAATATGTCAATCTTAACAAATTATAAAACAGAAATTTCCTAAATGAATTGCATTACAAAATATTGATATTAAGGGGACATCTCTATATCATGCTTATTTACAAATTGCAGTTGATCAGAGAGTATGAAGAACGTGAGCCAGAAGATGCTTCATGTCCACAGGCACCGACACATATTGAAGCAGATGACCTAAGCTCAAGTATGGAGGTAAGGTATTTTTTTTATCTTTGTGTAAATTGATGACACGCAATGATTGGCCCCAATTAGTTGCTAACAAAACCAGTCTGATTTTTTTAAAAATAATATTGACATTTTTATTCTATGTTAATATTATCTAACCTAGTCAATGGTAAGAACACAAAAACCCGCAAGGGATCAATGACTTTTGACCAGACATGGATAAATCCACTAACTTTATTTACCCTGCCATGGGAGGTTGCGAGTCACACTAGAAAATAATCTGGAGGTCCTTATAAAAACTTGACGGCTCTGTTAGTCTGATGTGCATGATAACTTCCCTGACACAACCTGAACCTTGCAAAATAAAATAGTAATATTTTTTTGAACATAAATAACAATAATAAACATACAAAAGAATTATATCCTGATCTCTAACTGTATAAAATAAAAACTAGCTCTTGAAGATTGAAAATATTTATTTTATCAATGTACCTTGTATGCTCAATGGCCATAATGTTTCATAATTGATATATATCATGTTTCCTTTTTTCAGGTAACTGTTGTCTCAGTGGAGCCTAAAACTAAGTCTGTGGCTTCACAGAAGAGTTTAAGTCGGCCATCACAAAGATCCCACTACACACAAACAAGATATAAAGGAAAGGATAAAGGTAAATCACCATACACTACATGCACATGTAGTACAAATTCTTAATTATTCTCAAACCAATGTAAATATTGCCAATATATACATGTCTATAATATAAAATTAATAAATGTATAGTTTTAAAGTTATTTATTTTTTTACTATTTCACCTATGTTTGATGACACTGTCAGTAAGATATTCGTTGTCAAGTGTAGATTTGTTTTCCCTTCTGATTTAGATTGCTCTTTTCCCTTCTGCAGATTGTTGCTGGCTGCACTGCACTTCAATGAGAAAGTTTCGAGAGAACAGGCGTCACTTCAAAATGGTGAAAAGAGATACAGAATCACATTCCCCAAGCAAAAGAATGGTGACTACACAGTTCGACAAGTGAGAACAGAGTGCACCTTCAGTAAGTTATATAATTATTTAATTTCATTCGTAATTTTACTTTAGAAAATAATTCAATGGTTTCAAACTGCCAATGACAGAATATGCCAGAATGATTTTTTTTTTGCTGGCATGTGAAGTTGATGGTTGGTTGGTTATTTTTTTTTGCTGCTTTGAGAACGAGTGTTTTATATATATGTTATTATGTGGCAACTACAAATTTCTGTGTTCCCATATTTTCAATAATTTATCATCTTGTGCATTTTGATAGCACTTTATGCATATTAAAACTAGTAAAAGAGCAATCATTTAAAAGGTCTAATATCTCTTTCTTGTCATGTTACAGATTATGTTACAGATTTGATGAAAGCAACCAAGGAACGGGTGAAACTTTTACAGATTCCCAATTGCGAGGTTGTTGGAGAATCGCCACCACCGCTATGTATGAACTTTGTTCACCCAGAGAAGTCCGAAGCTGTTTCTGGACTAATGTCCAGGTTTAGGCACTAGCCTACAGTTGAGACTTTGGTGTCTTGGATTATGAATCATGCATGTAGATATGGAGACTACACATGTTGGACTATTCAAAGTGCTGGCCCCAGTTGTTTAAAGATACTTTTTATCAGTTAGGGAAAACTATAACTTGAATACAACAAAATCAAGAACACCAGAGATCATTTTAATCATTTTACTTGATTTTTTGAGAAAAATAAATGATGTCTTTTGAGGATTAGTTATAACCACCACTTATATCTCTAATAACATTTGAGCAACCGGGGCCTGGCCTTTTACATTTTAATAATTGTGATGTGTTTGAAAATAATAAAGAGACCATATGTTGGTTTTATATGATATTTAATGTAGTAATGGGAACAAAATGTCTACATAAATATCAAACTGACATAAAAAAAACAGTAGCTAATTTAATCATAAATAAGCATACAAATAAGAAAGTGTTCTGTTGTTTTCTCATTCAAATTTAAAGCCATTGTACTGTCCGTCCGGTGCAGGGAAAGCATTCCTGATACATGTAACAGCACATGCTGGGAGTCGTACACGAACATGTCGACCAAGCCAACCCCAGCACCATCTCACAAATTGACGAAAGGCAATATATCGATTTCTCCTGGAAAAAAAATCATTATCTTGCATAAAAAAGTTGGCATATATGTAAATCTTCCAATTCTTCATTTTCAAAACAGACTGGTAAGAACTACTTTGAATAAAGTGGATAGACTCTTGCAAAATTGCTGAAAATTTCATATATTCTTGGGTTTTAGTCATCTTTCACAATGCAGTGTTTTGTTATTCTGTGTATACATTCAGTTAGATTGTGAAACATTGAAAAACAAATTAAATAATAATGATTAAATAAAATGAGTGTTTACTTACTTGTTTTCATCGTCTGTCAATTGACCATGGTACTGACGAAATGTCAGGTATGCTGTCTGCAGAACATAAATATTCAAACAGACAGCATCAAATCCAGGATGGAGAGTGATGCATGATAGGTCACCTGGAATGGCATCCATCATGACTTGGACCTGGTCGACTTCTTTGCAACAAATACTTTCCACTTCGGTAGACATTGCAGGACAGTGTCCGCATCTACAACTGAAAATTGAAGGAGATGTAATAAGTTTTCTTTGAATTTGTAGACATATACTTTTTTATCAAGGTACTTTACACTGCCATTTGAGCGATAGCTGTAAGGACCTAGAAAACCGGTATCCGTCCATAGTTTCTAGTTGTATTGCGCCAAATCTACATTTTTGTGTAATGTGACAACTGAATTTTCTATACACGTTACTTAGCGAAGAAATGCTGGTAGGCTAATCTTTCTTAAAGTCAAAAAATGGTCTAATAATCAACCTAATTTGCGTCAAAATAAACTTACCAATTGTTGCTTCAAAGTCGTATGGTTTGGATCTCGGGCTCGTGGTCGGCCACTGAAGTTTCCTCGTTTGGGTCGTCATCCGTCTCTGGTTCGAACATGTAAGGCTGTGTTACTCCGTCGTAGGTTGCCCCGTCCATCTCAAAGTTAGATGAGCCGTCAGACATGTATAAATCAACAGATTCTTCGTCGCTTTCTCAGATCGATACGTAGGTAACGTTATTCGCCATGATGCCGGTTTTTCTTGTGTTCCCGTTGTGACGTCACCAATACGTGTGCACAACTTTTAGCGGCGCGCGGTACGCTTGATGAGCATATGGAAACGCAGGTAAAACGCTCAACTTCTACCTGTCGTAACTTGGTAACCGGTCCAGCGATTTCGATGCGGTTTTCGGCAACATCATTATATAAACACAAGGAATGTTTTATTATCGGTTACTATTTGCACTACAGTTACTCTTTAACATATCTCTAAAACCCGAAAAGTTTAACAGTTCTCTTGCTTCTCTGAATCAGAAAAAGGGCATGACTCTATATAAACATTAAGGAAATAAGTTGGATTTAATGCACGTTTATTGCAATATGTTATTTCGAACTTAAGATTTCAATACTTTGATTCATTGCTGATACATGTTCCACCTCCTTCATTCAAAGACGCGTTCGTTTAAAATCTAACTCACACGAGGACTTCCGGTGCAAAATTCTTCTCGTCCATGGATGAAAGCTTCCACAAACTGTCCGCACTGCATGATTCTATGTGTATAGCGGGCAGAGCTGGAATACAATCGTATGTTTTACGAACCCAGAAAGGTTGGTCGTAAAATACTACTCATAAAATAGTCTAGACATTATCTAAAAAAATCTTTTGTTTTCAAACATATTTTAAAACTGATCAGTTGAACACTTATTTACAACGAAGTCGTGAGTAAAACAAAACATAATTAAATCTACATTGTACAGCTGAGAAAATAAAGCGATAGAAAGTAAACTGTGACGTCAAAATAGAAAAATGACACGTGATTCTGACGTCATACCTTCCATCACAGCGTATTTTTGATGGGTCAATAACAGTGACAAAGGTCTTATAATTGAGTTTGTTTGTTTTCAATCGTTTTTGAGCTATTGCAGTTGGTTTAATGAAGGTATAAACTATTTGTTTCACTGAAATAGATATGACTGTATGTTAATAATTGTCTCAGAAAAGGGAAATTAGAGTGGTTGACCCCTACTTAAATCAGACCCCCTCGTAAATTCTTTTGAAAATGGATTGATTAATTCATCAGTTGGAAAGGAGCAAAATTCTGATCGATCCGCACAGAATTTATATCTGAGATACTTACCTTGTGTGGTAGTTGTCGGTGTTGTTGTAGGCGTTGTCGTTGTAGTAGTGGGCGTGGTCGTTGTAGTTGTGGGCGTGGTCGTTGTAGTTGTGGGTGTTGTTGTAGTTGTAGTTGTGGGCGTTGTTGTAGTTGTAGGCGTGGTCGTTGTTGTTGTCGGTGGTGTCGTCGTTGTTGTTGTTGTTGTTGTAGTGGTGGTAGTACATTGTACATCCACCATATCGTAGCTATAGGTCGACTTGTAAATTTTGAGAAGTTCCATAAACTCCGGACAAACGGAATGCGTCTGTAGACAGAGTTTGAACTCCCAGTGAGATCTGGAACCAACATCAGTATCAAATCAACTCATGGTCAAGAATAAAAGTTTGCAAAATTTCGGAAAAACCTCTTTCACATATTTCAAAATTTAAATAGGGATTGAACGGCGTTTTTAAAATGTTCATGCCGGTATGAACGCAAATCGGTTGCATCCAAATTGCTTGAAGTCCGCTAGGGCTTCATGTTTAATATTGATGTAACCGCGTTCATACTCAAATGAAATGCATTTCTGCTGGTAATGTTCATATAGTGTGTTGCAGCGCAAATGTAAATATAAGAATGAAAAGTCCTTATATAGGATTAAGATAATGAAAAAAATACACTCTTCAAAATAAACTCCTAAAGAACCTCATAAGTGGTGAATGGCTTAGAGACGGTTCCACGGTTTTTGTTATACATACAATGTATGTATATATATAGTCAATTTTACAACAATATTTAAACAAGTTATAAAAACGTATACTATTCAACCCGGATAGAAACGCGCATGGGGTTGACATTTTCACGTCCGATCGGGGAGTCGATCCCCGGTCGTCTTGATGAAAGGCGAGAAAACCATTCACTGCACCACCTCACCAACTAGACACAGAATGATGGTCAACGAAGACTGGTATGGAAAAGGATTTTGAAGATTTTAACTGCTGCCAAAATATACTTGTTTTGTTTGACTGTAAGGTGTGAAAACGTTAAGCATGGTATTTACTGTACATGATACTATCATACTGTACCCACCGACACTGGCTCGAGGGATCTGTGGTATCTTCAATGTGAGGAAGACACGACTCTATTGCAGTGACCGTGTTGTCCAGCCTCAAACAACCTTCGGTGAAGAAAGATAACGACACATGTTAAACAAAGATATACCTAGGGTTCAGCAACCGTCGACAAAATGTAAAACAGCGTCAAATAAAACGACAAAACATATGACATCGCCAAGACAAAACATCTTGTAGCGTCAATACCAAACGATATATTTTTCAGTGTCAATACACCGCGATAAATTAGAAGGCCATCTTTAAAATGTACCACGCCGAAACAAAAACATAGAAATGTACCACAGCGAAACCAAAACACAGACAAAATTAACCACAGCCTCACCAAAACACGGACAAAATTAACCACAGCGTCACCAAAACACAAACAAAATTTACCACATCGTTACCAAAACACTGACAAAATGTACCACATCGTTACCAAAACACTGACAAAATGAACCACAGCGTCACCAAAACACTGACAAAATGTACCACAACGTCACCAAAACACAGACAAAATGTACCACAGCGTCAACACAACACGAACAAAATGTACCAAAACGTCACCAAAACACTGACAAAATTAACCACAGCGTCACCAAAACACGGACAAAATGTACCACATCGACACCAAAACACAGACAAAAGTAAGCACAGCGTCACCACAACACGAATAAAATGTACCACAGCGTCACCAAAACACTGACAAAATTAACCAGTCTCAACACAACACGAACAAAATGTACCACAGCGTCACCAAAACACAGACAAAATGTACCACATTTCCACCAAATCACAGACTAAATGTACCACGGCGTCGCCACTTCACAGACAAAATGTACAACAGCGTCATAAAAACTCTGAAAAAATTAACCACAGCGTCACCACAACATGGACAAAAAGTTCCAAAGCGTCACCTAAACAAGAAAATAAAATGTACCACATCGTCACCAAAACGGACAAATTATACCACAGCGTCACCAAAACACGGACAAATTGTACCACATCGTAACCAAAACATGGACAAATTGTATCACAGCGTCAAATATGATGACAAACTAAATTGTATATATTTCTGATTCTTATGTTAATATCGCGGAAGTCTTAAAGATAATATTAATAAGAGATCACAAAGGTCACTATGCATAAGTAATTGTATACACCGTTCTACGATGTTGGTATATGCGGTAAAGACACACGTACACTAGTTAAACACCTACAACGTTAATTAATGTACCCTGTACTGTCAGCCTCTGTTGATAAAGCGAAATCACTTACCGGTTTTACAGAACTGTTGCCAAGCCAACACAATATCCGGTTCCAAAAGGGACAGGTAAAATGGTTGCTCGAACTGACAGGTCTGTAGCACTGTATCAGCGCACCGTAGACTATCTTTGAACGTGCTGAAAATGAATGATATAATATCTTGTTAGTTTGAAAAGATTGATATGGTGCTTGATACCAATATAAGGGAGACAATAAGTTAACACGTTGAGTGGTGTTTTACATATAATAGTACATAGACCAGGAACACAAGAATCTTGACAGACTATATCTATGGCAGGTACACTTCTATGCATGGTTAGGGATGGATTATAAAATATTGTATTTCAAACTTGTGCTTCGCCTATTGTTTTCATTTCAAACAATAAGTAATATAATTTCAAATTAAATATAATTTCTAAAACTGTAATGTATTTACCTGCAGAAATTCTCATATTGTTTTGTATTTTGTGTGATGACGTTTGTTGCAACCATCTGTGTACAGGAGGGAAACGTCTGGTAAAGGAGGCAAGCTACAAACAAACAAATACAATACCCTTTAACGTTAGGAAGATAGTACGAGGTGGTACATACTGAATTACTTTTCATACAATATTAAAGGTATGTTACTAGGTCAGCTAGCTTGGTAGCTCTTGCTAATGGAGAAAGATTATGTGACATAGCATCATTTATGCACTTTCCGTCCTGTCACATAAACAACCAAAAGAACATATGAGTGAAAAAGGTCACCGGTTGGTGACTTTTAATATATTTTCAAACAAATAATACCCAAACATGACGATGTCAAACATCTGACAAGTACAGCATAGCATTATCATATATAAAGTAAAACAAATACATTAGTTGGTGGCCATAAGCCTTAGTGGGGGTTGGCAAACTCCGCCACTAAACCAAGATGTGCAACATTGAAGGTTTCCCCACAAAGGCGTTGAGCGCGCCATTGAGAAAATTTGTAAACAGCGCGCCATTGAGAAAATTTATAAACAAAAAGGTCACACAGTGCAAAACTATTGTGTTAACCATTCTAAGTACAGACCTAGTCTGGTATACCTTCCGAAGTTTTTAACTCTTATGTACAGCAAACTACATTGTATTATGTCTTATCAAAATGAAATTAGTGAACGGAATAGAAAACGTCAGTTGTATCCAGGTATACTAATGACAAGTAAAACAGTAAAATACCACAACCACATCATACAACGAATTTAGCCTTTTGCGACTATAACAATAATTTAGTTTATAATTTGTAAAAAAAATCTTGGTTGGTCAAAGTGTGACAGTCGACTTGGCAACATTGTAAACAATTAAAATTAAAATTAACTTCAGGAAACACAATCAACAGACCTTTTATAACATAAGCATATCAAGATATGTGTATCGGGAGTATTTTCTATCATTCCTGTACTGAGGCTTAGCTGTGTATGTGTACATGCTCTGATATGTAGTTCATGAGAAACTGAGGTGTGTTTTGTTACTGTCCAGTTATGACAATTTTATAGCATCCCTATCCACAAAAAATATTTACTTGTATAATACTACATTATTTATAAATTATTGCTTTCATATGAAACTAAAAGATTAGATAAACAACTCATGGGTCATACAAAAAACACTATTGGATTTCGAAATCGAAATGTACAGAAGGAAGGTAACTCTGGGATATCTTGACCAAAATATTCAAACTATCTATCAGAGTTACCTCCCCTCGTTTGTAATGAATTTTTATGTAGGCAGTAATACTCATATATAAAATGTGCATAAATAGCACCACTTCATTATTTCATGGCCGCAGATTGACAGTTTCATGTAAGCATTGTTGCTGGTATGCTTACAGAACCCCGCCATTGAATAGTCTAACTTACACATGGCTAGCCTAGTTCAATGCTTCATGTAAGAAACACCCTGTGCGTATGTGATTAACCTTATGCTTTCTCAGTTTCATGTTTACCCATTCCCAGGGAAAATCCTGGAATTTGAGAGCAGTGGGCCATTTTCAGCAACTTTTTAGTCAAAATCAAATAGTTTTAAGGGGTCAATGGCCTCATGGCCCCTCCATGCATTTCTATAATATCAACAGGAAGTGTCGTCCCTACAAACCTCCAGTGCAGGCGTTGTCCACGTCCGTCCGAGTTTCCTTCCACTGAATTCGGAGGTATTCATACTTATTTACTCCACACTGCTCCGTGTTGGCACGGTAACATTCGATGTGACTGTTGTTCAATAGTGATGTCCTATAAAGAAAACCACGATAAAGCTGTATCACACACAAGGAATTGATATTATAAATTTTCAAATAAATTACGTATTTTATTTCCTGCCTTGATAGCAGACATGTTGATTGCATTGAGTTGGTGAGCTACACACTTTCCTGGAATAGACAGGATATATCATTGTGTTTTTTTCGTGTGTTGCTTAGAAACCTTATCCTTCCGTAATACACAGTTTCCACTCAAGCCTCTTGTCGAGTTTCAAGGTGTTTTCATATTATTTTGATGTCTTCACATTTATTGTTGTTGCTGGGTATCTACTTGTATCAATTTGTCCTTCTGTGTTGAGGCCGTGGTATATTTTGTCATTTTGTATTTAGGCTGTGGTATATTTTGTCCTTCTGTATTAAGGTTGTGGTATATTTTGTCCTTCTGTGTTGAGGCCGTGGTATATTTTGTCCTTTTATATTAAGGCTGTGGTATATTTTGTCCTTCTGTGTTGAGGCCGTTGTATATTTTGTCATTTTGTATTTAGACTGTTGTATATTTTGTCCTTCTGTATTAAGGTTGTGGTATATTTTGTCCTTCTGTGTTGAGGCCGTGGTATATTTTGTCCTTTTGTGTTGATGTCGTGGGATATTTTGTCCTTTTGATTTTAGGGTGTGGTATATTTTGTCATTTCGTATTAAGGCTGTTGTATATTTTGTCCTTCTGTGTTGAGGCCGTTGTATATTTTGTCATTTTGTATTTAGACTGTTGTATATTTTGTCCTTCTGTATTAAGGTTGTTGTATATTTTGTCCTTCTGTGTTGAGGCCGTTGTATATTTTGTCATTTTGTATTTAGACTGTTGTATATTTTGTCCTTCTGTATTAAGGCTGTGGTATATTTTGTTCTTCTATATTAAGGCTGTGGTATATTTTGTCATTTTGTGTTGATGCTGTGGTATATTTTGTCATTTTGTATTAAGGCTGTTGTATATTTTGTCCTTTTTTTGTTAAGGCTGTGGTATATTTTGTACTTTTTTTGTTAAGGCTGTGGTATATTTTGTACTTTTTTTGTTAAGGCTGTGGTATATTTTGTCCTTTTTTTGTTAAGGCTGTGGTATATTATGTCCTTTTTTTGTTAAGGCTGTGGAATATTTTGTCCTTTTTTTGTTAAGGCAGTGGTATATTTTGTCCTTTTGTGTTAAGGCTGTGGTATATTTTGTCATTTTGTGTTGATGCTGTGGTATATTTTGTCATTTTGTATTAAGGCTGTTGTATATTTTGTCCTTCTGTGTTGAGGCCGTGGTATATTTTGTCGTTTTGTATTTAGACTGTGGTATATTTTGTCCTTCTCTATTAAGGCTGTGGTATATTTTGTTCTTCTATATTAAGGCTGTGGTATATTTTGTCCTTTCGTGTTGAGGCTGTGGTATATTTTGTCCTGTTGTGTTGAAGCTGTGGTATATTTTGTCCTTTTGTCTTGAGGCTGTGGTATATTTTGTCCTTTTTTGGTGATGCTGTGGTATATTTTGTCCTGTTGTGTTGAAGCTGTGGTATATTTTGTCCTTTTGTTTTTAGGGAGTGGTATATTTTGTCATTTCGTATTAAGGCTCTGGTATGTTTTGTCCTTTTTTGTTAAGGCTGTGGTATATTATGTCCTTTTTTTGTTAAGGCTGTGGAATATTTTGTCCTTTTTTTGTTAAGGCAGTGGTATATTTTGTCCTTTTGTGTTAAGGCTGTGGTATATTTTGTCCTTCTGTGTTGAGGCCGTGGTATATTTTGTCCTTTTTTTGTTAAGGCTGTGGGATATTTTGTCCTTTTGTGTTGAGACTGTGGTATATTTTGTCCTTTTGTGTTAAGGCTGTGGTATATTTTGTCCTTTTTTTGTTAAGGCTGTGGTATATTTTGTCCTTTTGTGTTGAGGCTTTGGTATATTTTGTCATTTTGTGTTGATGCTGTGGTATATTTTGTCATTTTGTATTAAGGCTGTTGTATATTTTGTCCTTCTGTGTTAAGGCTGTGGTATATTTTGTCCTTCTGTGTTGAGGCTGTTGTATATTTTGTCCTTTTGTGTTAAATCTGTGACATTTTTTGCGATCCAACTGAATTCTACCTAATGAAATATTTCTAAAGTTTATTTATACAGCAAGACAATACATGTCGCTTTTCTCATTTACTGGCTGTGCAGACGCACACCGGCCCTAAATCAAGATAGATGTTGCTATGCGAAACCGGTAAAATTAGAGTAAAGTTTCGTTGTAATATATCTGATTTGATAATAATAAGAAAGTAAGGGCTAAGTAACCTAGATCAACAATAAACTATAGATGATGTGTCATTTCAAAACGTTCTTTAAAGTTATAATTGAGTTAGACATGCAAAGTTTAAACATTCAAACTGAAAGTACAATGGTGGATACAACTGAAATATTCATTAACGTCACAAGGCACTTGCTTTTACATAACCTATATATATCGGTAAACTATGTTACTCAGACATTAAACTATGTTTTTTGTGCATTCCAATAGCCACAAATATCTGAGAGAAAACTTGATCTTCAGATAATAAGTGACTGACATGTTACAAGTCCGAACACCTGTTTTTACGGAAGTATCAGCTTTGTTGCCTTTTTCTTAATTACGTGAAAGTCCCTAGGTACCACTTTAATAGTTTATGTGCAAGTTTGTTATATTCAAATCACATATATAAATTCTGATTTTTAACCTTTTTTATTGGAGTCTATATAACTTATCAGGGGTTGGAATTTTTTGTGACTATAGCATCTTTAAGGGGGCTTGTTAAACTATAAGTCTGTACGAGTTCCTACGACTTACCTACACAGCTCCTCCGTTTTTGCAGTTATGATGGTTGATGATATCACTTCATCACTTAATGCCTGCAGGTCAAGTGCGCATGTCTCTGCCTTTCTTACGTCACAGGGTACCATAACCACGCTAGCTATTAATCGAGATAAAATTGTACGTTAGCTACATTATATCTGATATTGCGTCTTTGTGAACATTCAGTCACTTAGCTTCAGTTCATGTGACGTCATTACCATCATGAAAAAAAATGGCGCCATTTAATATTACGTCATAATTAAACAATTGTGCATCACGTGTGTTTAGATGACTTTTGTCGATATGCTATAATTGGAGATCAAACTGTAGTAATGTACAGTCAATTTTATGATGTCACAACTGAAGGTTAGAAATGTTGAGTTCATAAACATCAAATTATTATGTCACACACCAAACAGAGGACCAATTCATACTCACCAAACTGTGATGACACACAGAAGAGAGAAAGTACCACTATCGTCACCCAAGGCCGTTTCTTCAAATCTGTAAGGAGACGTTAACTATATATTCTAACGAAAGGTGTTTCACATTACTGTATTGCTGTTCAATTCCGTACAAATTTCTCCAATATAGTGATGGCAGTATGCATCTATATAGCCATTTTTACAATGTTTAACACCTCGTCCTTGTTGTTTTGCATTCAAGTAAGGTAACATCTGGACCTGGTGAGTGGCTGTGCTGATGTTATATTAGAACATAGGGAAACTGCATAGCAAACCCTTTAAACATTCTATGTGACTATACATTTTTTTTTATTATTCCTTAAACTGCATAACAAAGATTTAAAAAAATCTAAATGACTATACAGTTACACACCGATTATGATGGAAACTACATAACAATACTGATGGTTGGTATCTTTGGACGCACCCATTTATAAAGTAATAGAGTTGTCTCTTTGAACGAGCTTACGTGTAATTTTGTAAAAAATACACTGAATGTCACCAAGACAATTCATATGAACTAAGCTATTATTTATACTATAAAAGGAACCCTGTTTTTATCTCTCGAGAAGCTACACCAGCTCATGTTGACGTCAACACTACCTGGAAAAGTACCAAAGTAGCACTCAAATTATTTATGCATTACAGGACGCTTTCTAACAGGTCAAAAAAAGCACCGGTAGAATTGGTAATATCAGTAGTTATTGAAAAACAAGTGTTAATTTCCTTCCCTGAGTAATTGTACGTATGTAAGATAACCTTGGTATTTAAGTTCGGCACTTGGGTTATCAGACGATATAAGATGTTTTTGAGTGTATACACGATGAGCTAGTTAATCTCGCACTACGACTTGGCGATGATAACCTCGTATCATCTTAACTTCCTAGGCACAGATTGTTATCGCCCTAATTGGTTTTACACAACGTCGTGGCTTCCACCAAGCACCTGTCTACTGGTAAAGGGCATACTACCAAGTTTGGTCTTGACTTCAGGAGTCTAATCGGCCAGGAGCCAAAGTATATTTATATTTTTTTCTAATTTTAAACCTTTTGTATGACTTGCTATGGTAATGATAAGTAGATATCAATACATCAAGTTTTGTTCAATTCATCAAATGATTGGCCATTTTTATTGTATATCCAGCAATGAGTTAGTGTAGCCACTGTCTGACATTTGATGATTCTTAAATAATTCGTCAAAGGGATAGGGTTAAATCATCATCAGGTACCTATTAAGTAAACGTACTGTAAATCAATTATGACCAATTACATTTTTACTGTACGCAGTAAAACAATGCCATGTGTTAATAGTACGTATCAAGTTAATTGGTTGACATTGAAGTATCGGTTCTAGATAGGTAGCACGGTAAGCCCAGCCTCTCGATCAGGGTGTTAAATATATCAAGAATACACGGATGGCTTTATTGACTAGCTCTAAAAATGAAAAGATCCATTATTGGCTACCAATTTGAAATTAAGCAGAACTCCTCTAAACTTTGAAATTAACCAATTAAGGGGTTTAACGCATCTGCCCCTCTGCTTCTACAGTAGTCTGGACCCTCTGTTTCTAAAGTAGCCTTGACCCTCTGTTTCTACAGTAGTCTGGACCCTCTGTTTCTACAGTAGTCTGGACCCTCTGTTTCTACAATAGTCAGGACCCTCTGTTTCTACAGTAGTCTGGACCCTCTGTTTCTACATCAGTCTGTACCCTCTGTTTCTACAGTAGTCTGGACAATTGAGATTTCCATCTTTTTGGCCCCTAGCATCACCAACGAGACATAGAGGACGAACAGCTTTATAATGCATTGTTATTCATTAAATGGCACACTGTTTCTATTACCGATTCCAAAGTTACATCACGTGTGTGTTACGTTTATCTTTCACGATAAACGGTGGTTGACTCTGCTGGTGGATTTGCCAGCCTCCGAGGTTTGACGTCACCTTGATGCAGTGGCACGGTTCATAATGTACACATCAAAGACGTTTCCGAAAGCTCGCAAAATAACTTTTCAATTCCTGTTTGTGTCTTTAAAAACGTTTTAATTTCAATATGTTAAACGATTGGACTTTATTTTTTATACATAACGAATGGTTTGTTCACTGTGCAGGATTGCTGGTGACCTACTTTCTTGCCTTGTTTTGACATTATGGCGTGTAAAACTTGTGGTGCAGGGAACGTTTATCCTTCCGGATATGCAAGGATAAGCAGCTTCAGTATCTGGTTTCTGTTCAATGGGGATTCATACTGTTTTACGTTATATCTAAATGTCCTCACAGTCCTGTAATTTTGCTTTGATATATAATACGAATCTCAATATTAATGTATCAGTTTGTTTTTGTTTGTTCGGGGTTTAACGTCATCATTAACAGCCAGGGTTATATAAGGACAGATACCTAGGGAGACACAACAGCCAGGTTCATATAAGGACAGGTACCTAGGGAGACACAACAGCGAAGGTCATATAAGGACAGGTACCTAGGGAGACACAACAGCCAGGTTCATATGAGGACGGGTACCTAGGGAGACACAACAGCAGGGTCATACGAGGACATGTACCTAGGGAGACTCAACAGCCAATGTCATACGAGGACAGGTACCTAGGGAGACACAACAGCCAGGGTCATACGAGGACAGGTACCTAGGGAGACTCAACAGCCAATGTCATACGAGGACAGGTTCCTAGGGAGACACAACAGCCAGGGTCATACGAGGACAGGTACCTAGGGAGACTCAACAGCCAATGTCATACGAGGACGGGTACCTAGGGAGACACAACAGCCAGGGGGATATGAGGACGGGTACCTAGGGAGACACAACATCCAGGGTCATGTGAGGACGGGTACCTAGGGAGACACAACAGCCAGGGTCATATGAGGACGAGTACCTAGGGAGACACAACAGCCAGGGACATATGAGAACAGGTACCTAGGGAGACACAACAGCCAGGGTCATATGAGGACAGGTACCTAAAGAGACACAACAGCCAGTGTCATATGAGGACAGGCACCTAGGGAAACACAACTGCAAGGGTCATATGAGGACAGGCACCTAGGGAAACACAACTGCCAGGGTCATATGAGAACAAGTACCTAGGGAGTCACAACAGCCAGGGTCATGAGGACAGGTACCTAGGGGACACCGCCAGGAGGAAAAGGTAGATAGAAAAGGATGAAAACAGGAAAGATAGGAAACAATAAAAAAATAATCCAAGTGTTGCAATGGGGGCAGCAGATTAATTTGTCTTCCATAGTAGGTGACATAGAGGAAAACACCTGATTATGCAGGGGGAGGGGGGCATCAATTGACTTTTATAATACACATATAGTTGGATACAACAGGACATTTTGTTGGTTCTTTAATGTGTGTGCCCTAATAGGGCAAGAAAAAAAAACCAGCCCCGATTATCACTGGAGGAGGCGGTACATAAGTCGCCTCTTACAATCATGCAGTGGGATACAGCAGGCCTGTTCTGTACTCGAACCAGCACGGGTTTTATTCAATGTACGAATTATCAAATACATTTTGCCTTCGCCTTATGCTGGGTATTTTTTATCAGTATGGCTTTACATATACTAAGTGATAATACCGACTCGTGACAATATTAATGGCCGACGCTAGAGCAAGTCCTAGAGGTTAGGTTAACCATGGAATGTATGGACGTATGGTCCATGCTGGAAAAACATTTAAAACCTGAAAGTGTTTATGCGAAAATTATCTTAGATTTTTTTTTTAGATCACCAGGATCTGGAGATTGTGGACGGTTTAAAGTTTGAGATTACTCTGTAATGGTCATTACCGTATCAAAACTGAACTTTAGGGCAGCGAGCAGATGATAAGAACATTCTGAGCTTTCAAACGTATACCAATAAATTGAGGCTTTACCATATGGTCCTGGCGTTAGGTTTATAACAAGTGTACGTATATTACAGTGATGATAGTACTTAGTCAGAAATCCTATAACAATGTAACGGGCTCACATAACATTACCATATTCTTTTTCTGTAGGATGGATCAATAGAAAATGGAGTAAACATAAATCACAGCGTCAACACGAAAACGGGTTGTCCAAGCTTAAAGTTAAGTACGGAAATAGCATCATAACAACAAGATGAAATAATGAACCCCTTTGTACGATGGCCGACAGCGGCCGCCAATACAACTACATATTTTTGCAAAATGTATAAGTACAGTTTTATATAAGCCTACTAAATACGTATGCCAAACTCAGTGTATCAATAGCAAGTTATCCCTCACATTTATTTCTTAGAGCCTTTGATATTTATGGTTTCAACCGGCGATTCCTACTGCTCCAACGTTTTATTTGTTTATCTAAACGACCTTTGACTGTATTCTGTTATTGAGTCGGTGTGCTGGTGATGCAGCAATGTCAGAAGTATATTTGAATATGCAAGTTGAAAGTGCAACAGCTATGAACTATGAGGGGGGGAAATACTGTCTTACTGGCAAACTAGCTTTTCCAGTGATGCGGTATAACCCGGGGAACCTCTCACTAGGTCAGCAACGTCAAGCGTGGTCAGTATTTGATGGGTGACCGCCTCCAAGTTATATTTGGTGGCAGCGGTGGGATCCAAACCCATGCCTCCAAAGAGATTGATGCTTTTCCAGTGATGAGGTATAACCTGAGGACCCGCTTATAAATTTAGCAACGTCAAGCGTGGTCAGTTGTTGGATGGGTGATCGCCCGCACGTTAAAAAACTATATTCTGTTATTCTCTGTTGTTAGAGTGTCCAAGAAAATTAACTAGAATACAATACACCTAACATAATGTTTTCTCTACTAACATATAAACACTGCTGTGACCTCGTGACAGCAACAGGATATACATCCGTTGTAAAGATGATCGATGTTGATGAGGATAGGTTGCATATTGACAAATCACAAGTGTCTACAACCATATCTGTACTCACTCACTCACTCACTCACTCACTCAGACAAGCCTGTTATTTTGTTACATCGCCGCTTAGACGGTACAACAAATCTGTCGTTATTGTTACTGTCATCAAATCGTCCCTTTGTAG